AAATCTTAGCTTCTTCATATATCTATAGAAAAACCCATTTAGGTGTTCCCATTTGCACGTTCACCAGCCTGTACATTCAAATCATACTTAATTAATGAATTTTTTTTTTTATGAAATTAGATAATTTTAAATATCCAAAATATTCAGTGATATAAGTAAAAATTGCAGTATTTTTTTGTTGTATTCGATATATTATATAATCTATGTTGTTTGAGAATTATTAAATAAATAAAACAATGATACATATTTATTCACATTCTAAGTACAGTTCTTTTTAGTAATATGTTACTCTGATTTTTCTTGAGATTTGGCTGCTTCTTGCAGTAGCTTATTTTCTACATACTTCTCTCTAAGCTTTATTATTTCATCGTTCATGTAAGTTGTAGATGCATATTTTAAATTACTGTAAAATAAGTATTAGTTTAAAGTAAATTAAAGTTATTAGTTTGAAAATTATGAGACTGCAAATACTTACTCTCGTCTCTTTTGCATGAGTCGGAAATGTATTTCATACAAGTCACTTAGCTCAGCTCCAGTAATGTACAATAGTAGCTTTGCCACTGCACCATAAATACTGCCCAATAGACTACCAATAATTGTACCTGCCATTGTTCCTTTAACTCCCATATCGATTTTAAGCAGACCTCCTGTCAAAGCCCCAGCAGCTGTACAATTGATTATCTCAAATTTGCCTCTATATACATACATCATAACTGATGTGCTCCTAGTAAAAAACTTTAAATGCAGTTATATTTATACAAGTGTTTTATTATAGATATTACTTACAAAAATCATCTTACTGAAATAAGAAGCAAAAGATTCCTGCTGATAAGCCAATACGTGTACCCTTTTTGAAAAATTCCAAAGCATATGTATTGTGTAATTGTCTCTTTGCATAGAAAGTGCTCTCCCACTTTGTAGCTTGATTCTCCCTTATAAAATTTGTTGGTATATCTTTTGTTTTTGCTACCCCACCATAAATAAATCCTCCTATTACACCTGCAACTGTGGCACTCACAATAGATTGAACTTCATTGGATATATTACCGTTCCTGCGTTAATAATCAAAAACTGAAATTAATACTATTAAAAATAATAGTTGATTTTGTATATCAGAAAACGTACTTACCTATCATGAAACATATGTTTTAATCTATCTATACCAATTTCGCCTGGAGATAAAGATTCTATTTCAATTATTTCAGGTTGTTTCAATTCGTTGTTAATACGGTCTTCATCTCCAATTTTTTGAAATGGAAAGAAAAATGCATATAACGATCTGTTTGTTGTTAAACGTAACATCGTGCTTGACATAATCCAATAGTACTATATTTTTCTGTTCCTGAACTTATATTTTATAATTTAGCTTTCTAACATATAAAGAAAAATACAATGGAAATTGTGATATAATATGATAAATATTTTGATGAAGAGAGACTCGGTGACCTAAAGCCCTCAGTCAACCATAGTTGTCTGTCTTATACCTCGTCTGTAGTAGGAGTCCGTTGTACAGTACGAATCTGCTGCTAGATGGCTTTGAACATCATTTCTGTATAGGGTGCTGTGCTATAGATGCAAAGATGAAGATGGAATATGCTCGGAATAAACATGGAATATTGAGGAAAAGAAAGGAAAGCATATTATCCTGGTCCCGTTAGAAGACTCGTCAGTAAGGCTTTTCTAGCAAGCCCTGCGTTAAGAGAATTCATCTGCCAGCGAACACCGGAGATAGCTCTCACAGTTGGCATCTCTTACCGGAAGGTATCCATCTGGTGGTGAGCGCAGGAGGCGGCACCCCACATCTGTCACCTTTTTTCAGGAGAGCAAAATTTTATTATAGATGAGACGTTCGTTTGGTTTGTCGAAAGAAAGTGTTTTGAAGGTCTCCTTTAGTTTCCTTTCATAAAATACTTTTCGAAAAGTAACAAATTTCAACGATACGTAATCATCGACGTAACATTAACACAATTATGGATTTGTTGGGATCTATTATGAATTCTATGGATAAACCTCCTACAGTCAGTGATAAACAAAAAGCATTGATGAGAAGTCAGTTGCCAGTTAATCTATATCATCGGTCTTCCTTCTTTTTCGTAATAATTATTTTTATTGACACGATAACTTCTATTGTGTACAGAACAGAAAGAAGAATATCAGAAGCAGCAAAAAGCAGAAGCTGAAAGATTAAAAATATTTCGTGAAAAGGTTCAAACATTTTCTTTCTTTCTTTCTTTATTTATTTATTCTTTATTCCTTATTTATTTTTTTTTGTATTTCTGCTTTCGCGAAAAGAAATTGTTAATATATACATTACTGTTTTCATCTCTATTATACTAGGTAGAAACAAAAATGAATAAGTTTCTTCAAGATGACAGTATTAAGGAATACAAGTTCCCACCGATGGATCAGATTCATAGAAGTATAATGTACATAGAAAAAGCTACATTTCAAATTATATACAGTGCTAGTAATATTATATTTTCTTATTATAGACACGACGTTGCCGAAGTCGCAAATGTGTGGGCATATTCCTTTGGAGAAGATGGTGTGGATCGGCACATAATGATCTTTAAAAGGGAACATGCACCATCAGAAGATCAGCTGAACGCATTACGCAGAGGTGAAGAATGGAATGACAAAATAGCTAAGCGGGTTGCCGAAGAGAAAGAAAGACGAGCCAAAGAAGAAATAGAAAATGCAAAAGCCAAGAAACGAAAAGACAACTTTGTACCTAATAGTTATTATAAGGATAAGTATCAACACTTAATAGGGAAGGAAGCAGCTCTAGAGGCAGCCAAGAAAACAGAAGCTAACAGCAGTTATGGTTGTGGTAGGTTCACGTTTTGGCTCTTTAGTTTCTGCTGAAATGCTTACTTCTAATGAAAAAATTGGTTTCAGTTCCCAGTGAAAACAAGAAAGATCAAAGAAGTATAGAACAAACATTGGCAGACATTCGTGCAAAGAAAAGAAAATTAGAAGAAAATGGAAACACTGAGAAAACAAAAACAAAAATATAAAATAGTTCAATAATGTATCAGTTGTTTAAATCAAAATACTGTATATTAAGCGTAATTTTCATTTGTTCTATATTAGCATTAATCATGCACCTGTGATAGGTTTCAGAAACAAGTTATTCTTTTTCGATTTAGTAGATGTATTTATTGAAAGATAAAACAAATTAACTTGTATGGGTTATTTACTCGCAGGAATCACTTGGCTTGTAATAGCCCATATATAAAGTATAATACACACATCCAATGTGTTTCGTTTTCTTTTACTTCCAGTTATGTACAATAACGCAATATTTCTATACAATCATACATTTCGGTACAATCAAATATATTCTGTGGTCGAATACTTTGCTACAGATGTCCTAGGTGCAGGTTTTGGTTTAGTTAAGGATAATGAATCGAATACAATTTGCTCTTTCAAAGCCAACAATTTCTTGAACACTTGATTAGTTGTCGATTTATACAGCTCCAGCCCTCGCACAATTATAATATCACGAATGTAGGCTGCATTATCATGAACCAACTGTTTCTAAATTTATAGGAAATAATTAAAATGGTTACAAATCTCGACAACAAGGAAATTAGACACGATGCCGATCAGCAAAAGTAAATTACCTCCTGTTTTAATTTCGGATTCGTAAGGGATAAAATAACATGTTGCACTTGAACTCGCATGACAGATACTAGTACTCCGTCTATCGTAGCCATGAGTTCCGGTGTAGCAACATTTAAACAATCCTCTAACAGGGTGATGTAAATTTTTGAAAATGTCAATGTATTGTTGGTCAATGTGATCCTATGTTCGTCCATTAGATAAGATGATGGTACAGTTATCCCAAGGTCGTCCATTTCAGACAATAATTTTTGAACACTTTTGCTTGTTTCTAAATTAGTCGGTCGCCAAGTGTCCTCAGCAATATGCACCTTTACAATTTCAGTGTATTTATCACCGGAATCTTGTATAGCTTTTGTTAACGGGGATCTCAGTTGACCATCTAGTTGATAACGAAAATCCATTCCAAGATGTGTCAACTAAGAAGAAAAATACTTTAGCAAATGTTCAGAAATTCTGTTGTTGCCTAGGATTTTACCTGATCACAGTGACATCGAATAGAAACTATACACTCCACTAAAGTGCTTAGAGACACTTGAGGTATAAAAAGTTGTTTGATTAAATGTGTCGTTAGATGTTTAATTTCTTGACTGCACCATACAACCAAACCTGAAATTAAGGCAAAATCTATGAATGGAAAGAAAATTCATTGAATGTGAACAACTTCGGCAGAAACACCCTGACGATTATATCATTTATATTAGATTATATAGTTACCAGATGTACAATTTGTAGATTGTAGAAAAAGTCTTCGAAATTCTTTGGAGATTTCTACGATATTGCTAAACGCGATTGCGCTAAGTTGTTTTACGTAAGGCGCGATAGCACCTTCTCTTTTCACTCTTTTTAAACGTGCCCTCAACACAGCGGTACACAGTCGTAAATACAACTGACAAGCTTGAGCACTTCTATTAAGTTGTATCAATAATCTCACTACACGTCGTGCACTTCTTAAACCACCTCCTTGAAGTGATTTTGCTTCGGCACTTACTTCAAGTTCTTTTGTTATAACGTCAACCAAAGATCGGCCTCTATCATTTACTTTTGAATGTATATCGACTAAAACTGGCGATATTTGGCAATCTTTTAAGTAAGTTTTCGCTTTCTCTAAAAGGCCGTAAGCTTCTTCAAAATGACGTTGAGCTATACAAGAATCTAAATCTTCTGCAACTTCCAGCATCCATTCTGGTGGTGGTTCGAACAATTCTGAATCTACGTCGTCTGTACCTGGAAAACCAAAATGGACCATTGTGAGAGATGAAACAGAATATATGCATAACTTATAATAATAATTTCATTCGGCATCTTGATTGAACCTAGGGTATTAGAATCGAGAGACATTGATCGGGAAGGTGGCATTTTTTCTTCTTTGGACTGTGTATCTATGTTCTGTACATGGCCACTTGGATTATCTTCAGATAATTTCATTTTCTTTGCTTGTTCACATTTGTCCAACCACTCTTTCTGAAACGAAAATTCTAATGTTATAATTTCTATTGTAGTTTTCTCCATAGAGTCTGACAATACTCTATATATTTCTTGGTACACTAACTTTACTCGTTGCAGTCGCGCATTGGAATACTCTTGTATCAGAAAATGCTAACAGTTTGAATGCCAATTTTACTGTTCCTAAATCTCTTACATTAACGACTGCTAAACTTTCAAGATTATACACAGCTTGCATTTTATATCTAGGTGGCCCTCGTCTGTTTCCATTCGCTAACCAAGAGGAGATCATCAATATGTCGTTGAATAGATACGCATGAACTCTTTTCAGTGGAGTTCCTTCTAACGGATCTAGCTCGAGTAATGAACCTTCATGTAAACATATACGTCCAGGTGTTTCTGCTAAACTCTGTGAACCAAATCTGAAGCTAATGATTCTTTCTTGTTTTTAAAAAAAAGCTGTCCAAGTGCTGCAGGCTTACCATCGCGCCTTCTACATTTTCAAGTAGTAGCATTAATTTCAGCTTTTGCTCCTCTTCCTTGGAAATGAATTCATTAGTACCTTCTTCTCTAGATTCAGATAAATCTTCAAAGATAACACCTGCAGTTCTGGTGGATCCTAATGTACTTAACAAGGAACGTTGTTCACTTAATAGTTGCGACAATTGATACATTTCACTTTCCAGGTGTGAAATTTCTTTGGCTGTTTCTATAAACTGCATATAGTTTTGATAAACGTTACGTTTTAATTGGGCGGATGTATTGTTTGCAAGTTCTTGAATCTTTGCTCGTTGCTGCCTTAACTCGTCCGCACCAACGCATTGTGCGCTTAATTCTTTAACGACTGAAAAGAAACAAAATTGTTAACATATTTAGTACTTGATTTAGTCGCCACATAGTACTCACATTTTTCTGCACTAAAATCTTCGGTTGCGAACACCTTTGACAAACTATCGGCCATCATATAACTATTAAAAATACGTATTCACTATTTAGTATATCACTTAAATTTCATTTTAAGGATTAAGAACCATTAAGAACTGTCATTGTCGACTACGAATTGAGAGGCACAAATTACAACATGTAATTAAAGCGTGTACACATAACGCACACACACATAACCATAGACGAAGTACAGATCAGAATAGAATGGTACAGAATAGACAAATTATTCTATATGATATGTATGGACTTTCGTAGTCCAATGTAACTGTCATACCGACACAGAAATTTAATAAATATTTGTTGGTGGCTACCTAAAATATTTCCTTCAAGAGTAATGTAAAAACACTATATGTGTATGGAATTTGACTAGTATCAACAGACGAATACGATGCAGAAAGTAATTTTTTTCCGGTGTTTTTTTCCATCACTACTTGTCATGCCCTGTTACCATTTTTGTGGCGCGATCTAGGTACACTGGTTGTAACTATTTATACCAATTGATGCCTTGATTGAGGAGTTTTCTCGTAAACACGCGTTGTTCAACATAACCTTTCTATTTTTGTCGTGACCGGTTCTCGACATTTTAGTTTCTTTGAGTAAAAAGAATTTAAAACGGAAACAGATATAAGAACAGACGAAAATGTTGCGTAGACAAGCAAGACTTCGAAGGGAATATCTGTATAGAAAATCTGTTCAGGACAAGTTGAAGAGTATACAAGAAAAGAAAGAAAAATTGAAACGAAGTTTAGAAGAGAATATACCGATACATCCAGATCTTAGGAAGGACGCGTTACGTGTACAGAAAAGTTTGGAATGGGAAGATGCTGGACCAGAAATGGCTGTTGCTATGGGCACCGAAATGGGTGGAACTTTAGGCTCTCACGAGGATGACGAATACAGGTGGGCTGGAGTAGAAAATCCGAAAATTGTAATTACCACTTCTCGTGATCCTAGTTCCAGATTGAAGATGTTTGTTAAGGAATTACGCCTAATATTTCCTAATTCCCAGAGAATGAATCGTGGAAATTATGAAATGAAGCAGCTCATACATGCTTGTAGGTCAAACGATGTTACAGATTTTGTAATCGTACATGAACACAGAGGAGTACCAGATTCCCTGGTCATCTGTCATCTTCCGTACGGACCTACTGCATATTTTACAATATCAGATGTTGTTATGAGGCATGATATACCAAATATTGGAACAATGTCGGAACAATATCCTCATTTGGTTTTTCATAACTTTCAAACAAAGTTGGGAGAAAGAGTTGCTAGTATTTTAAAGTACTTGTTCCCTGTGCCTAAAGAAGATAGCAAAAGAATAATTACTTTTGCCAATCACGATGATTACATATCTTTTCGCCATCATACTTACAAAAAATTAAATGGGAAGGACATAGAGTTAACTGAAGTAGGCCCAAGATTTCAATTGAAACTCTATGAAATTAAACTAGCTACATTGGATGTGGAAGCAACTGCCGACATAGAATGGGCTTTAAGACCTTATATGAATACTAGCCATAAAAGAAGATTTTTATCCAATGAAGATGGGTGGCAGCAAGAAGATGATATATAAAGAAACTTTAATCTTCAAAAGATTCATTGAACTGAATAAATTTTCATATATTGTATATACATTTATTGAATCTGACTGTATGAAATAAATAATTTTTGTATGCATTTATTATAACCCTTGTGGCAAAAATAATTTCTAAGATACAATTATACGATTGATGTAACACAACGAATAAATATTCAAATTTCCCGCGTCGAATTATGAATGCGTAGTATATACGAGCTGCACACACCAGTGCATTCTGGTTTTGTTTGTAGTAGTTGTTTTTAAAAACGTCATAGAATTAAAACAGGATTACTTAGCTCCAAAACAAGAATTCGTCGTGCAAAATGATCACAGAAAATGCGGTCAGAATGATCAGATGAGTGTGGTGCAGAAAAAAGAGGTGAAGTTGTTGTTACGTGATGCAAACTAGTGTTTATAAACACGCAAGATCCGAGAAGACGCCGCGGCGCAAGAAGCTCATCACGGAACAACAAAGCAACGCTATGGATATGTTCGTGACACCGAAACGTCAGAAAAGTGACGGTGAGATCAGCATTTGTTTCATAAGGAAAGACATTTGGTAGAACACTTGCTTGTATTGCTCGTGTCCGCTTGCAATATTTCGCATGATTTGCGCGCGTATGTAGCTAATTTGCCGATTTTCTTGGCGATATTTTAGTCAAAGCTGCTTAACTTTTGGTTTTCAGCGCGTTTCTTCGTAGCGGAGAATCGTTGAACTAATCATAAATACAATTCATTTGAGGTTAAGTTATTAAACAATTACGAAATCTTCTAAATCAAATTTCTCAGTTCTATAATAACAACACTCAATTAATAATATTATTATATTATTGGACAGAAATTATTATTAGGCAGATCACAATATTCGAATTTCTGTCAATTTCGAATTTCTTTTGGATATTTGCACATGCTCCAATTCTGTGTACACGGAGAATCTACTGTTTACATTTTGTAACGAAGATGTTTTTTTCATATATAATACGCGTCCACGAGATTCAATTACATTCGGTTAAAAGATTCATTGAATTTAACAAAAATAATGAGAGGAGGAATATAAGTAGTAAACCATGTTTTAATACCCATCTACGTTTGATGTATAGTATGTTCGAATACATTACATAGGCATAAAGTGATAATTGAGTTGTTGATCAATGTGAGAGTGGTAGATAGCTGTGTTGCAAAGTATTTTGGACCTTTTCTCTTTCTTGGCAAGGTGCAGTCGGCTTTATATTTCAGATCTAGAGGTCACTGGTATCTCCCGCAGTGGCCGTGTGAGAAAGAAATCTTCCAAGTTGGTTGACTTTGAATCACCAGATGATTTTACGGACAACAAGTACAAACGGCAGAAAGCTCAACACTTACAACGTCAGCAATTGTTGGATAGATACGATCCAGAACCCGTGGCACACAATCAACCGATACATGCGAGCGGTGGAAGACAGAGAAAGAATTCCAATTCCAATTCCAATTCCAATTCCAATTCTGGTCAACAAAGAATTAAAGACGATACCTTATCGGATAATGAGGGGCAAATGTCGGAGTCGGAGTCGGATGATCCATCTGGATTAAACGAAGATGAGAGATACAGTATGGACTCTGGAAGCGACGACGATGTAGATCCACTTATGATAGATGATAGAGAAACAGGTTTTAGAAAACTGGAGCCACCTGGCCAAGAAACAACACCCTCGCAAGCGAATAGTTTATACATGCTTGAGAAATGTAAGAAAAAGCTAATTATCAAAGATGGCAAGATAATAGGTAGAATGAAGGCACAACGAAAAGACAAAGGGGTATGTACAAATGGCGATGTTACTAAGAGAAAATTGTCTTACAATTGAATAATGTTTTCAGAAAACAAGATTCACCGCTTACATGTTATGGGCTAAAGGAATTAGACAAGAATTATTAGAGCAATGTCCATATATGGGTATATAATTATAAGTTTTATTTCTTTCTCTATACTTTAATTTGACTTACTAAAATAGCTTAGAAGAGAGTGAAAAAATATAGTTTCAGTGTCTTCTAAAACGATTTAATGAGTCGAGTTAAAATAGACACATTTGTAATAACAGTTAAATTAGGAAAGAAAGCTAATGTTATTGGTGAAACATTGCTTTTTGTAGATTTTGCAGCAATTTCGAAACGGTTAGGAGAACTGTGGGCTACAGTGCCGAATCTGGAAAAGTATAACTGGCGCAGACGCGCGATACGCTTGGCGGCGAAGCCTCATTCTTTACCAGCGAGTAAAGATGAGCCTGTTTGGAAAATGCCAGCGCCCGCTTCGCGAAAAAAGTTCATTAATAAAATTGGTGGGTTTGTTGGTTCTTCTCATGTATACAACACTTTCACGAGTATGCCACTAAAGTCATGCGGTAGAGTTTATTCATCCTAATTTGCTTCTCGTGCACGCGTATTAGTAAAAATTTGATCGGAATACTAAATATTGTTTTTTTATGCCTATAAATTCTGTGGTAGATGTTTCATTATTATTTGTTTGGTATGCATGCATCTCGTTTAGAGGTAGACGAATCACGGAACAGTTTCGCGGTACATAATGATCATGCGCTCTTTTACGATTATCGTTGGTCTTTATTTTATTACAGGTAATGGAAAAGAGCAAAAGCCTGCTACCTCGAAAAAAACAATTCAACTGGGCCTGCCATCCGTGGTAGGGAATGTTCCTGTATCACCGCCGTCGAATCGATCTGGAAAAGATCTGGTTAACGAGCCGTTAATTGGCACGGGGATGTATAAAGTAGTCGGAACGCAACCCATCGACGTTGCCGCCCATCTAAAATTGCTTGGTGAAAGTTTAACGATTATCGGCGAACGCCTTAAAGAACATGATGGACAAATTGCAGTGTCCGGCAGTCTATCGGTTCTTTTGGATTCGTTACTTTGCGCCTTGGGCCCATTGATCTGTTTAACGCAACAAGTGCCGGAAACGAACGGGGCTAAACACGAGACACTTTCGCAGATGCTTGACAATATAGCATATCTTATGCCCGGCTTATAATGATGATATTTATGTTAATTATCCGGAGAAGAATCTGATTTCTCTAACAAGATATATTGTAAATATGGTAAAATTCAATCGAATCAAATATTAAATTGTATATTTATCGAATGTACTACGTTGGCGTAGCAATCATATTCTACGTCATTGAATCAATTAGAAAAATATCACGTCGGCGTCGGTCAAATGGAATAATCTTTTCTTCTTTTTTTCGTTTTTTGTTGAATTTTGTTTACTTATACATAAATTATATCATATTCTACATGAACACATATACATTTGTACAGAAATTACAATAAATATTTAAATAGTTCCACTATAACTAACTATACACAGTTATTCGTTATATGAATTTGTAGAATTCATTTTGTAACTCAGAGAATAGGAGGACAGGTGCAGAATAGATTCTTGTCACCGTATATATCATCTATTCTTCCCACGCTTGGCCAAATTTTATTATTTCCTTTCACGAATGGCTAAAATGCAAACAAGTTATTTAAATCTTTAAATAATAGTTTGTTGTTCGATTTCAATTTTAGACGTATGTTTTACTTACAGCCGGGAACGCAGCTACTTCCCGAGAGTAGGGCCGATCCCATGTACTCGATATCACTTGCTCCTGAGTATGTGGTGCCATTTTCAACGGATTATTGGCAATGTCTAGTTTCCCATTTTCAATATCGTTGATCTCGTGTCGTATGGCTGCAAGAGAATCCATAGAATCAAAATACGAAGGCCATAGAATTGTGCAGATTAATAATCTTACAGATAAGAGCGTCACAGAATCTATCCAGTTCTCCCTTGTCTTCGGATTCGGTTGGTTCGATCATCAATGTACCCGTGACAGGCCAACTCATTGTGGGAGCATGAAAACCGTAATCCATCAGTCTCTTCGCGATATCGACAGCCTCGACGTTCGCAGTCTTTTTCAAATTCCTCACGTCCAAGATGAATTCGTGAGCGACTAATTCCGTCTTTCCTCTGTACAAAGTTTTATAAAACTTTTCCAACCGCTTGCTCATGTAATTCGCATTTAGAATCGCAACTTGTGTGGCTTTCCTTAACCCCTTGGGACCCATCATCTTGATGTAGGCCCAAGAGATTGGCAAGATAGCCGAGGAACCAAATGGAGCAGCAGACACCGTGCCAGATCGTTGTTTACCATTTTTGTTTTTAACATTACTCGTGCAGTCGATTACCGGATGGTTTGGAAGAAACGGCGCAAGGTGCCGTTTACTACAAAAACAAAGAAAAACAAGTTTCTTATAAAGTTTTATTAAAAAATTTACTGGAAAGTTTTATAGCTTAACTTACACTCCGATGGGTCCCATACCGGGGCCGCCACCTCCGTGAGGTATACAAAAAGTTTTATGCAGATTCAGGTGCGACACGTCGCTACCATAATCACCTGGACGGCACAAACCCACCTGAGCATTCATGTTGGCTCCATCCAGATATACCTGGCCACCAACACGGTGAATCATGGTACAAATGTCACCGATCGTTTCCTCGAAGACACCGTTAGTCGAAGGATACGTTATCATTAAGCAAGACAACGTGTCTTGGTATTTATCGATCACCTCCGTTAAATGTGCCATATCGATGGAACCGTCCTTCTGTACCAGGATCGGTTTCACTTGCATACCAGCCATCTGGGCAGAGGCGGGATTCGTGCCATGTGCAGAGATAGGAATCAAACATACTTGTCGATGCTTCTCCTGTCTAGACTCGTGGTAACATTGTATGGCTCTCAGGCCAGCGTATTCTCCTTGTGCGCCGCTGTTTGGCTGAAAACTTATGTTATCATAACCGGTTATAGCGCACAGATCTCGCTCCAGTTCAGCGAATAACTCTTGATATCCTTTGGCCTGCTCGACAGGAACAAAGGGATGAATGTCCGTGAATCCTGGTAAACTGCAAGGCATCATTTCCGTGGTGGAATTCAGCTTCATCGTGCAGGATCCCTATCAAGAAATTTAGTACCTTAGAAGTATGTATGTAAACATATATGTGTTGTATACTTACCAGGGGTATCATGCTATGTACCAAAGACACATCTTTGTTCTCCAAGGACTTCATGTATCGAACTATTCTTGTTTCAGAACGGTGGCTGTTGAACACTGGATGTTGCAAATACGGCGTAGTACGAACGAAACAGGATTTATTTAAGTTTTTGTCCATACAAGCCTCATTTTCATAGAAGCTTTCAATCGTTGTCTCCATACCGAAAACTTTCCATATATCATTTATGTCCTGTACAGTCGTAGTTTCGTCTAGGGATATCCCAACTCCATCTTCGTAATATCTGAAAAAGGAAAAAAGAAAAAAAAGGGTTCCTCTGTATATCTCGTCTTGCTGAAACGATTTAAGAATCAATCAGCGTCAACTACCGAAAGTTGATTTTGTGCGAAGTCGCGTTACGTTTTATAACATCTATAGGCAGCTTCGGCAGTATCTTAATGGTGTCGAAAAAGTATTCGTTGTCTATCTTATTGCCCGCGTTCGCTAGACCTTTGGCAAGAGTCAAGGTCAAATTGTGTACTAGATTTGCTATGTTCTTGATACCCTCGGGTCCATGGTAGACTGCGTACATTGCGGACATATTTGCCAGCAGTGCTTGTGCGGTGCAGATATTGCTGGTGGCTCTGTCTCTTCTGATATGCTGTTCGCGCGTTTGAAGGGCTAAACGATACGCATCTTGGCCCGTCGAATCTTTAGTGACGCCAATCATTCTACCTGGCATTAGGCGCACCTGCTTTTGCCGACACGCAAAAAATCCTGCATGAGGGCCCCCATATCCTAATGGCACGCCAAATCGTTGGCTCGTGCCGATACAAATGTCTGCTCCAAATTCGCTAGGAGGCTGAAGGATGGCCAACGCTAGCAAATCGGTAGCGGCGCATACCAGCGTCTGTAATGTAATATAGTACATTATGGAATCTAATTGCGAGTTTTTGTTTCACAGGACACGTACCCCGTCAGCGTGTGCTTTTTTTGTCGCCTCCTCATACGAGCGAATGGATCCTGTTGTATCGGGATATTGTACAAGAATCCCAGCGATATCCTTCACACTGGTATCAACTTTGAATACGTCTCCGATTTCCAGTGAGAGACCCAGGGAAGCAGCACGTGTAGCAATTACGCTGATTGTTTGAGGATGGACAACATCGGAAACAAACAATCTCTTCCTCTTGTTACTCCTATGTGCTAGAGCCAATGCTTCCGCTGCTGCCGTGCCTTCGTCCAAAAGCGACGCATTCGCTACTTCCATGCCAGTCAAGTCGCATATCATTGTTTGATAGTTTAATAGACCTTCGAGTCTGCCCTGGGAAATTTCCGGTTGGTACGGAGTGTATTGCGTTGTCCTGTGTGTATCAGTATAGACAGTAATATATAATATACTGATGTATATCAAAATGATGACCATCAAAATATTCCTTACCATCCTGGATTTTCAAATATATTCCTCATAATTGTGTGAGGAACGCAACAATTGTGATAGCCCATGCCAATATAGGTACGCCACACTTCATTCTTTTTAGAGATTTTCGTGACCTTTTTCAGTAATTCATATTCGGCTGAAATATGTTAGTTTTATAGAAAATCTATCGCATCAAGATATTAACTGTTGAACCAAATAAACGCATAGAGAAATGGGTTTTCATGTATATAATAGATATAGTATGTATATATATAATAGAGAATATATAGAGTGGTGATACACCAAATAAAAATAAGTTCTTGTTTATCCCATGTATACCAAACAATTGATATTTTCATGTTGCTCTTGTCTGACGGATGTCTTTCAGTGTTAAAGGGTTATCGCTTCTCGCGTGTTACTTTATCAATGGTCTCGTGACTTGTCACGTTTCTGCATATGATTCCTATGCTTCAGTCATTTCAGTTTACTTACTAATTGATTGTTCGATTTTTAAATCTTCATTGTACAAAATTTTTTCTGGAATCGCTGCTTTCGTTAATTCTTCAAGACTCTGTAAAATTATTGAAATTAGTATGAGTAATCACAAAATTTAATTTCTAATATTTTTAATATACCTTAAAACCAATGGTTTCCAACATACGCAATTGTTCTTCTTTTCGCGGACCAATATGTCTATGTTGAAATTCATCCTTTCGAGGTAGAAGTTCGTCGATATTTTCTGATCTTACATGGTTTAAAACCAAACCACGGGTCTGTTGAATCATTTTACGTTTACCTAGCAACGTTGAACATTTCGCGATTTCCAAAATACGGAGCATTATGCTTTCGAAAAGGTGTTAAATTTATAGAGCTGTGTTTCAAAAAATTTAAGCTGACTACTGTAACCACTTAGACGTCTGAAAACTAAATAGCATGTCTGAGTGAAGGGAGATTTTATACCACAAGACCTATCGTTTACTGATGTCATAACTCTTGATTACAACTTGAACTTTCGTAACCCCTTGCTTACCATACACATACACATATGTATATCTTAAACCGTATTGGGAAACTACCTTCGCACAGATGTATTCCGCATCCTAAACTAATTTCTATTCGTAAAGTAGTGTTGCTATTTATAATTTCAAGAAAAACAGAACGTAAAAAATTATATTAAAAAAGTACAATCCATAGTTTACAAAATTTGCTTTCTTTTTTATTTGTCATATTTGATATCAATTACTTAAATGTTACTTTCTTATTGTTAATAATCTAATGAAACTTTACATTTGAACTTCAATTAAAAAATACATCGCTAAATATAAGCAATCGAACGAACAAATTCACTTCATAAATTTATCTTTATTTTGCGTAAGAATTATAGCAGAAGACTTTGCATCTAAGAAAAGTGAGCGTACCTCTTCGATGTCTTCTTTCTTAATAACTGTTCTTTCATTTACTTTTGCTGTTAATGCAGCAGGAGTTAAAAGTTGTACTACATATCTAAGAGTTGTTTTAGTACCTAGCTCGCCTAAGGTAGTCAGAGCTTCATCTTCAATTTGCAACCCTTCTGTTGTTGCCCTTAACTTAACTATTTGTTCCGTTTCCATTCTAGAGTATGGAAGCGTTCGTATAATAAGTAATCTATCTAAAAGATCAAGAGGTATTCCATGTGGAGATACAATGTCTTCTGTGCCTCTAATTATACAGCGTCCTCTGTTTGTAGCAAAAATTACTATTGGAGCAATAGCACTTTCTAGAGCACGATGAAGATAGGTGAATGTTTCTATATCCAACATATGTACTTCGTCTATGAACAAAACTCCTGGCACCAGTTCCGCGATTCCTTGGTCTATGTACTTGTTTACTACTTTGTTAATCTCTTTACGCAATTTATCTGCAATCAAAAGTTTCAATAGAATTATATCTTAATGGGGTCATTCTATGCAAAATCGCACTCTCCTTTTGGAGTACTTTTAGAGATTTTGGTCAAATTTAAATATGTTGTACCCTTTAGCGATATACATATAAACAAATCTCGGAAGATTTTCCAAAATTTTCAGTATTGTTAATTTTACAGACTTACAAAATAAAGTGTCAACTTATTTTCATTAAATCATAACTATTGAACTACCATATCGATGAAAATAAAATTTTTGGTGGTAATGATAGAAATATGAGTATCTATAAAAATAATTTTAGTTGAAAAAATTTATTTTTTCACTATTCATTTCGAAAAATTTAACAAAATGGAGGATATAGCTCCAAGTGTTCTCTTTATGGACGAAATTAAAATTATTTGAAGTGAACGCTGCGCTTTCTATCTTTTAATAGATACTCTTATGTTTCTACTGTAACCATCGAAAATTTCTTTTCTATCGGTTTGGTAATTTAATAGTTATGGCTCGATGAAGAAAAATTGACGCTTCATTTTGCAGGCCTGTAAAATTAACAATTTTAAAAATTTTGGAAAATCCTTTGAGATTTATTTATATACCGCTAAAGACTACAACATATTCAAATTCGCGAATTTCGCATGTTACGACTCGATAGAATATATAAAAATTGACTAAATTTTAATTAACCTGTGTTTACCTGTGATTTCTGTTTTCTTAGGTTTCATTAGTTGTCCCATCATGGACATAATATCTTGTCCACCTTGTGGCTTTGCATTAGCAACATCTAAATCATGCAGTGTTACATCTTGAATGACTTCCTTCTTCTTATGAACATCCCCTTTAGGCAATGGAACATATTCTTCTGCCTCCAAATCAAATTCGGTAGCAAAATTATCACTTCTACCCTGTCTTTTTACAGCACCACTGTTTGCTTCGATATAAATTACATCTCCTGTCTCCACTTTCTCTTTCTGTAGAGACTCGTATATGGAAGGATCCAGCTTCAACTGTTTTGTACCTTTAGCAGTTTTTAATCCAATGACAACATGGGATACAGTCTTTCCATATCCACCCATTGGATTTTCTGTTTCGACTGGAGTTAATTCTGTAACTTCCCCTTCATATACTTCTTTGGTTTCTTTGATTCTGAGGCCGATAGCTCGTCTGAAGTTCTCCATCAGCACCTCTGTTTTTTTTATTTCAGAACTATAGACTTCCGAGCCCACCATAGGACAGAATGGTACTTTGTTACCTAATTCTTGAGCAATCGCAAGCGCTATGGCTGTTTTCCCTGTACCAGGTGGTCCAGCTAATAATACAGCTCTACCTGCCATTTTCTTGGACTTTATCATGTCAACTACTATCCCGGCAGCCTGAAATGTTTCTTATTGTAATTTGAATTGTAATGATTTTTTAAATACACTATATTGAGTGTAACTAACCTCACGAGCCATTTCCTGACCAACAAGGCCGGCCGCTGATTGTATCGCAATTCCATTTTCGTCAAGACCCAGACCTTTTATATGAGTATGAGCTGAAATTCTTTGAGTTTTTGCAGTACTTTTTACTTCTTCGATCTTCATTCTCTCTCACGATCGTGAACCGCGTATATCCTCTTACAAATTCAAGAATACGCTGTAAAATAGTGCTTCAGCATATCAAGCGATGTCGAGGATAGAGCGCTCAGAAGTTTGAGGGTAGGTAGAAATACTATTTTTCTCTAATTGGTTGATGCTTCACAGCTAAACAGTGCTGCCCTCACAGTTTTATACGAAGGGAGGAAGTGGCGAGTGAGCAAGAGAGTGAAATTGCAAGCATGGTAAAGTGAGACGACCTACGTTTCTTGTCCGGATGAACGCTCAACGTAGAGCCCGTTGATTTCGTTCTGTCTCTTTTGATCATCTCTCGGTCTCCTTCTAAAGCAACTGCATGGAGCTGGATGCGCATAAAAATGGTGGGGATAAAAATGCTCGGAAAGAGGAAGCAAAAATCGCTTGTTCTTATCGATTGTACATAGTTTGATTGATAAAACTTCTATCCCCACCTGAATCACCGCGTGACCATAGAAACAAGTTTTGTTTTTAAACAAGATTCGAATTTAAATTCGTTGCAAAGCTTTCCTTTCATATACAGCTCGGTATGCTTGCGTATCAATTAAAATGTTTAGTTGGTTTATAAAGTAAGCATAAATGTATATGTACACATTATAAATGGTTGTATCCAGTTGTATGTATGTACACCTAAATGCACATATGTGTTTTGCCACGATTTTATTGCGCATCAAGTAATACGCAAGTTCCAAAATGGAAGACTGTTTGGTACGTTTCCTTGTCGATAGATGTCTAATATACTTATCTTTTTCCCGAAAGTGTTTGAATCGGTTTATAGTTCGTATATAAGGGCGCTTGAAAAATCGGTCTGTTGGGTCCGATACACCTGGGAAAATATTTGAATTAAGTTTACATTCTACAATTTGAGCCCTGCTTGCTTAGCCCTAGGTGTGACCGCGACCCCCTTTTGCCTTTCTTTTACGATATATATTTTTACTTATAATAATTTATTATCGATTTATAAGTAACACGCTCATTGGGAATCCTACTTAGCACGCTTCCGGTAGATAAAATATTAATATAATAGAATAATATTACTTTTCTCCTTTTTATTACATTGTTACAAGCATTCGTATTAAATTATACTTTGTGCAATGGCTTCTTTTCTTCTTCTTCCGTTGTAACAATTTGAAAATCTTTCATCTAAAAATCCTATTGCGTTAAACACAATAATTTTTCATGCCTCTATATAATTAGGAATCATTTATTATACTCACTTTAACCTGAGCATACAAAATAATTCCAACCAATGTCAATGTTATACCGATTACTTGATTTATGGCTAATGTTTCATGAAAAATTAATGATCCACCTAAAAGTAACAAGCAGAACTTTGAATGCCCAACCATGTTGTAACTGTAATAATTGCCAATAAGGAATAACAATGTATTTAGAAGTCATCTATTTTATGTAACGTTAGAAAAGGATACGTTAATGGTGAAGTTTTTCCTATTATCCAATAGGAAGTTAAATTAACAAAAAATGCTACAACGCCTGATAGTACAACCATAATCTGAAAATAAAATATGCATAGTCTTGTTCTTCTTTTCCTCCTTCTTTGATATGCTACTACAGTATTGTTAAACATTAACACATACTAGGTCTAGAGGTGACCAACTTTTTGCAAATGTTTGTTCCACAGGTTCTAAGAATGGTATAACAAAAACTAATAGAATAGCAGACAAAGGTGCCTGGTAATATAATAATTGCATTGGATCCATGTCAAATTCTTTCTGTTTTGAATTCAGCATCTATAAATAAAAGTTTATGATATATCAATATGTTAAAATTAAGCTCTTTAAGAGATATAACAAATATGTCCCACCACTTGGTATAAAGATGTTACAAACACTCCCATAGTTGCATAAATAGTTCCAACAATATTAAATTGTATGTCATAATAAAAATTTACTATTACACCTAATATAATCGGGATTAGTGTTAATTTAACAAGTATACTACAGTGTTTTTTATAGAACATTATTTGCAGTATTATCACACAAGGCATTGTTAACATTTTAGCCACTTGATAAGTTCCGATTGTATTGTATGCCAGGCTTAAGTTTGTAAGTACCACAAATCCGCAAAAGGTCATGGCAATCCATAACATTTCCTTGATGGCTACATCTTTTATACAAAATACGTCAAATTTCTCACAGATTATCAATCCCACGAAGGTAATAAGAAAGTGTATCATAGACAATGTGACGTTTGGGAAGTCTGTGTGGACGTACAGCCATTTATTCAACAGTACAATTACAATTGAGAACAATATATTTAGCATTAAGTAGAATGCCGTGACAACTCTTTTATTCATACTCTGTTCACTGTTTTTCGCTACTAATATACAATCGGCAAAATAAATGTAACCTTTTTTTTTTTAAATTTCGCTTCACACTATGAAAAATGTGCATGCGTCGTGCATTTTTAATTTGTTTATTATGTATGTATTAGATGCGAGTTGATTTCGCTGATCTTTCTTCATTTATACGTACATTTTATCTAATCATCAAGTCGAGCGAATTTATTGAATACAATCATCGCGCGCGCGCCTCGATCTTCTATGCATTGTACATTGACGAATTTGAGCGATTTAGATTAAGGTTATGTCGAGGCTCGAGGGCGCCAAAACGAACCGCACGAAGCGCAACATAAACGTTCGATACGTACTAAAATTTTAAGCGGCATTGTAATGTAAATTGATAATTAGATACATAGAGCGTTTATTTTCAAAGTAAACTGGAAAATGGAAGAATTTCCACTTGGTTATCGAGAAGTTGTGCCTGATCAAACAGTGCCAGAAAAATGGAACGAAATTACGTTAAACACAGGTGCGTGACCATAACCTTTTCAATTTTTCCGAATAACAGAAGATCTTTGAGAAAGACGCGATGTTTTGAGAATTGTTTAAGCGGTTTTTGTTCCTTAGAATGTTAAATATTAAAAGATTAAATTGTTTTATACATTACTTATATATTACTTTATTTTACTTGTACAATATATGGGGTGGCCTAGATTTCAACAAACCAACTAATATCAATATCAATATATGTGTCGTCTCGTTTATTATAGGAGGCAGTCAAAGTACCTTGCAGGATATTAAAGTGCCAGAAAGAGCTGGTGGTTATTCATACAAAGATTGTTCAAAGTACTACACACGTAATCGGTTTATTTACTGGCGTATCTCTCACGATGTTCTTGAGTTGGTTGAACATAGTTTAGACATTAATTTGGTTAATTGTAGAATAAGGTACAAGTTTACAGATACGCCAATCTTGGATGGTATTTCAGTACATGAAATAGGTAATTTTGTTATCATACTGATAGCAACTGTTTCTAGTATACATAAACTATCTTTTCCTCACCCTGAAAGAATCTACAAAAACGTAAGTAACATAATAGAGTTTGATATAAATATTATATTTCTAATGTAATAATAATATTGGTGAATCCATTTTCCAAAGGAGCTTAGTACCTATAAAGATCTAGGTGTACAATCAATATTTAGTGAAGCATCAGGTCAAAATGTTAAAAAAGTGAAAGAGGATCCTCATATGTTTTATGTTATTACAAATGCAGGAACAACAAGTCAGTTAAAAAAATATAATGAAGTATTCAGAATCTTATATCTATCTATCTTATTCATAAATTATTCGATGGTCTCTTACAGATTCTCCGGTGCCTCATGCCGCCACCTCGTGGTACATAGCACCACAAGATGCATTATTCGCACTTGCATACAACTCTGGAGTTATACTCCTGTTGAGACTAGACATAAAAACTGGTGTTGTCCATACCAGTGAGTTAAAGGAGGATTCTATCGTGCCAAGGTTCCTCAGTGGCATAGCAACTGCTTTTAGGGGTCGTAACTCCGAAGCTCATGTGGCTATGTCTTTGGTGATACATAGTTGTGGAAATGATACATACCTGTTTGCTTTGTGCCGCGAGGGTAATATCCGTATGTGGTCCTGTAATAAAGCTCAGTGTATAGCTGTAACTGATGCGTCGATCGATAATCGTGTAGCATCGCAAGGAGCACAAGGCCATTTATTGAGGAAAGTAGTAGGATCTGATAATGAACTATACTTGGGAACTTTTTTAAAGTTTACTACTAGATGCGAGTTTAGTATTTTAAAACCTGTTTTGGAAAATGGCGTGTTCAAGTTTTCAAGGCTATGTACAAGATTCGCGCAAGATGTGAGTATACATGATGACTCTATGAAAACATATTATAACTCACTTTCGTATGTCCACAGCAACATTTAGTCGATTTTTCATTCACAACTACACGATTATGGGCAGTTTGGAGAACTACCGACATGGATACCGTCGAAGTAACGCATGCACAGTTGTCGTTGAATGGTGCACGCGTTAATTCTGAGTGGGAAACAACAGTTTTAGAACAAACTCCTGATAGAGAATATGTTGTTAGCGATCCTGACACTAATCCAAGACGGGCGTACATTAATTATATTTTTCAACCTGGACAGTTTTCTTTGTCTGACATCACGAAGGCATGGGATATTTACAGAAGATCAAAACAGAATATTCATGCTCGAAGAAGATCTAAAAAACAGGTTTACGGAAGATGTACAGACGACAGCGTTCTTTCTGCTATCGAGTTGAAAGATCGTGTCTGTATCGCGGTAGAAGATGAAATCAAAGCCGAGGTGATGGATTTTGAACTTATGGATCAAGATTATTTGGAAATAGCAAATCGTTGTTGGTCAAGATTTTATTCTTGTGTCGTACAATATCACGCCAATAGTGCCAGACCTGTGGGACTATTATTATTACCCGATGTTTACGGGATAATTTTACTTAAAAAATCATCGTTCTCGCTTTTAAGACCGACGGAAGCTTTGGAATATTTAATGTTCTGCAATGAAAATTGCTGCGTGTCTCGATTCAGAACAACACCTGTTTTATCACAGAACGAAGATATATGCCAGGATCTAATTATATTGATGTCTGTGTTGGTATTATTAGAAGATCAAATGTCGGAAGAAACAAAAAACCTGATAAAGAAGGAATTGTATCATTTGAAAAGTCCTGACACTATTATCGATGATATATTGTCGAAGCTGTTGCTTGAATCGGAAGAACCTATTAGTAACATCATTATGGATCATCCTAGTTGTCACAGACTATCGAATGTCCGGGATCTGTCCAGTGCCATAGCCATGTTACTAGAAGCATTAACATATGACCTCGGGCAGCCGCATAAGCTACAATTCAACGAAGGCCACGACGCGTCCAAAATATTGCTGAATATAAATCATTTTTTCGGCAGTCAACTAGGAATCTCGGCAATATCGAAAAGCGTAACTCAAATAACGCAACTGAGATTCTCGATCTGCAGGAATCTGCTGATTTTGCAACAAATGATACTATTACGGCCAGAGTTATTCGACTCGCGATCATTACACTCTATCAAATCATCGTTAGTGCCGAGAACAGTAGCTTTAACGCAAGCTTACTACGTTGTACTATGGATTTGCGATTCAACGGCGATGCCAGCACCAACGCAATCATTGTTGTAAGTGAAATAGGTCAATAGTTTTTCGTGTCTTCATTTAGATTTATATGAAAATATAACACAAATACTTTCAGAGATTCCAGTATTCAACGTCTAGGGTTATTAAAACTCGCGGATGCCAGGGGAAACGTAGGATTCAAACAACACCGTTCTTTATCGTTGCTGGAATTATTTATACAAAATAGTGGTGCAAAATGTGCTCACAATTTAATAGCTCACACAAATTTGGATGCAACCACCTTAATACCATGGCATTATGGCATGTTGACACATGTTACGTTAATCGCACAATTGGTGTATCCTTTTTTACAATATTAGTATATATTTTGATATATATATACACAGTCTCACCGAAACAATCTCGTTCGTTTCCTTAATAATAAACATTGTATTTGAAACAGATGGCCGAGATCGGGAAACTTCATTTTTCCCGAATGGCTCTTGACCACTTGCCAATTTTTGCTTGTACAAGAATATGTTCGACTATTGAACACATGGTGCGAATGGAACAGCGCATCCAGGAAGTTCATATTAGCGGTTGCGTTGTTGGAAATGGGAGAAGCGCAGAAAGCTTGCGATCACTTCCTTCGAGCATCCGGAGGGATTTTAACCGATGAATTCTTAGCCGACACCTTACTCGAAACCTGTGTGCAAACAGAAAATAATTCATTGATTCAGTATTATTTGAAAGTAATCAAACTGTTCGAAGAGCACAATGCTGCCGATTGTATTATTGAACTCGCTGAAACAGCTATACTGATAGCCGACAAGGATGATCCTAACTTACCAACGCTTCATTCCATAGTATTTACGCAACATTTGAACTTGGGTCATCACACCAAAGCGTACAACTGTTTAAATTCGAATCCGGACGCTGCTCGTAAAGTCGACTGTTTGAGACAGTTGGTAGTCACCCTGTTCGAGAGACGAAAGCTCATAGACTTGATCTCGTTTCCCTATGTGGATATGTACGAAGATCTTGAGAGAATAGTGGAGGGCAGAGCCAGGAGCGTGGACCTCATGGAAAATAACTATTATAATTTCTTGTACAGTTTCCACATAAACAAGGGAAACATGCGTAAAGGTAACACGAAGTGAATAGTCTTATAGCAATTAGTCTAAACGATCGAGTCACGTGTATATATATGTACTTGTTTTAGCTGCCTCCGTTATGTACGAACAGGCCATGCGTTTGAGTCAGGAGTCACAATCTGTCACCATAGTGTCGAGACAAGCGCAATGTTTGTTGGCATGTATCAACGCGTTGCATCTTGTGTCCGATAAATACAGATGGATCGTCAGACCCGTGATAGATCAGAACTATCCGGAGGATTTGAGTCATCTTGATAGACAGAGTAGTCTGAAAGGAAGCAACGAAGATATCATTCCTTATAAAATTAAAAAGCAGATCGAAGTTCTTGAACTAAATGACATCAAGAAGGAGTACTATGTAGTGGACGCCAGATTGAAAATATCCAAAATTAATTCGGAATTGCATGTGGTCGCACATGCTGGTCCTTCGGAGCTTATCATTATTTTATCAACTATAGGTTTATATACGACAGCGTTACATTTGTGCGACGAATTTAAAGTCAATAAAAGTTCCGTGCTCGAAAGTTTAACTTCGCAATGCATTCGGTTAAGTCGAAGAGAAGATTCGAATGCTTGGGATTGGCTCATTCAAAATGATATATTCGACATTGGTCTGTCCAATACGAATATTACAAACACTGCCTGGAGATTGCTACAGTATCTAACATTGAAACACGAGAAAGACAAATGCAGCGAATTGCATAAAGCAATTTCTAAAAAACTACTTCAAGAGGGGGCGTTTATCCCTCAGTGGTTGTTAATATCTTACAAGGTAATTTGAATACATTGGTGAAGAATTCGCAGTCTAATGACGTGTGTGACAACAATGAGTCGACTGATCTATTGTATATTATAGAAACGGAATGCTGCAGAACTTTTACGTCTCATGCTGAACAGTGGAAGAATAATAGAAGCCAGCGATTTAGCAGTAGAGTACATTCATGCGATCCTGGGGGATGGTAAAGAACATTTCGGCCTTGAATCGTTTTTAACGTCCGTGTCTCCAGCAGTCTGGTTACCGTTTAACACTTTGGAAGTACTTTTACATGAATTAGAAAAAGCTAGCAAAGAGAATAGTATTTTTTCTGAGGTAATACACCAACCTTCTACAGTGTATAAATATTTTAAGAGTATGTTGATGAGAAAATATTTATTTCAGTCCTATCAGAAGCTGTTAGAGGCATTGAATGTGTATGAACAGGAAGTAACGAGCGTGTCGAAGAATATGATTGAAATGAAGTTAAATAAAAAGATTTGTTAACCGTGAGTAAAGTACATTATTTTCAAATTTCATTAGTTATCCACTTAACACAAAGACAAGAGAAAGTAAATCAGCATGTATACAAGTGTACGCAGCTATTTTTACATGAACCTTCCCAAGCTAAATAATTGTGCCAAGAATGAACAAATTTCGAATAAAACCAGAAATGACCTCGTGGAATCAAGTCTATGACCCCTTTGCAGAACAATACTAAGTAATCTAGACTTTAATAGGTTGAAAAATGAATACCTTAATGACGAAGAATCTCTCTTTATAATTCTTTCATTATTGGTTATGATTACAGCATCGAGGAAGCTTTACGTACCTACAGAACCAGTGTCCTGTATTGTGCATATTTTGGCGTACTGAACCAATCTATTGTTAATTAATATGCGTGTTTAAAAGTTTTCAAACAAATGGAAGAAAGTTAATTTGACTTTAGAAAACGGTTGTACACTAAAGACAGACTGGCAACATATTTGGCAAAAAAACCATGTTATTTATAGAATCATTTTCAAACAAGAATCTTATGTTAAATCTTATTTGCCTTCTGCGTATCATTCTCCTTTTTCAGAATATACATTGAACTATGAAGTACGCTTCAAAAATAATGACTATTTAATTAACATTTATTCAGCTATATAGAATTTTTAGCTACGAATGTGTTATAATAATTGTTAAAATGCTTTGAATTTTGTTATTTTTCTTTGTTTAATGTACTACATCGTTTTAAAAACCTATTAAGTTATTAATAAACCCACAGAAGCTATTGTGTATCTATCATACAATAAAATATTTTGATATAATTTATAAAATGAATGTTTTCAATATATATAGATGTGTGCATACAGATATATGTAGTAATATTGTAATTGTATAAATACATATGTACGTATGTGTACATAATGCCATTTGGGTATCCTACATAGTAACTAGTAACTTATATGCATACATTGTATTACTTCTGTAGCAAGTGCAAGTCGAATATCGTGCCGAGTGTTACAGATGGATTGCCAGACGTGTGTGGTTATGTTGATATCGTGCTTTCTTGCTCACTCGCCACTTCCTCCCTTTGCCTAAAATTGTGAGGGCAGCACTGGTTAGATATGAAGCGTCATCCAATCAGAGAAAAGCAGTTTCTCTACCTATTTTTAAATTTCTGACTTACCGATACCGATCATGCGCATGTGTGTATTATGCCTGATGTCATGATTCATACTATTTTGGGCTTGATATCAATGCAGGCACAGGGGCAGAAACTCACTCAAACTCAACTCAACTCAGTACACAACACTAGACTCACTCAGGAGTCAGTAATATGGCGACGTTGAAAAAAACCGGTTGAATTGTTGATATTTTAAATAGAACTACAGATTACGAAGGAGTTGTTCAAGATGATCAAAATATCGGCGTTAAACGAGGAATCCAGCGAAGAAAGTGAAGAAGAAGATGTACCGACAATTACGAAAGAAGCTCAAGTAAGTATCAAATCTGTTTATCATTAACCTTTCAAGAACTATAACCTACAAACTTGTCATCAGTTTGAAAAATTCGATTACTTTGCGTAATAAATACAGTATGATATATAATAATACAAGTGATCGCGACAAAAAGTAAATGTGTTTCATAGGAGTACATTTTTTTATCGACAAGAACGTTCATTAATATTCATTATTATTTAACTTGCTTATTGATATAAATATCAATTAATTAATTTAAAAAATGACATCTTCAGAATTATTTAATTTTTTCAACAGTAATTATAAATTGTTTATTCATAAATAATAATCAATGTACTAATGGGGCTATAAGAGACTTATTAATTTGTAAACGTATGTTACAGGAACAAATAGCTCTTACCGAATATAACAGAGCCTTAGTTTTACTAAAAGAAAATAAGCAAGAAGATGCTCTAAATATTTTTAAAGATCTATTAGAAACTGAACTATTGGACGAAGTAGAGAAACCTGAAGTGCCGGATGGTAGATCCAGGCCAATGTTGTCATTGAAATATTCTTGTTTTAAGAATATTGCTGCTATACAGGTTGCATCTGGCAATTACGACGAAGCTATAGAAAATTATTGGGAAGCAGCAAATTTGGATAATTCGGATGTAACATTATGGTATAGAATAGGCACATTAGCTATGAAAACGTCTAACTTAGAATTAGCTTGTTCCTCATTCAAACAAGGCTTGAAATGTAATTCTAATCATTGGCCATGTTTAGATAATATGATAACTGCCTTGTATGCTGTTCCTGATTATATGAATTGTCTTTTGTATATTTCTATGGCATTAGAACGAGATCCTCACTATGTAAAAGGCTTGGCTTTTCGTGATAGAATATTTAAAGACATTCCATGCCTTAAAGAATGTTATAAATTATATAATAGTGACTGGCACCTAGATCCCCCATTGTATACAGAATATGATCATATGGTGGGAGATAAATTATTAGCAGAAGCGAAGGATGTCGCCGAAAGGTGGGCACAAGTATGTAAAATAGAATTTACCCCGAAACCTCTGCCAGATTTAGAACTCAGAAAACCTGTAAAAAACTACACCTGGCTAGATTTAGGAGAAAGTCTATTAGATATGCACAGGTACATAATGGAAAGCGTCTCAAGTTTTGTTAGTAGAATTAAGCTGACGGTTCTTAATCTGGAAGAGACATCTTCAAAGACAAATACCGAAGCAGATATCATAGGAAACAACAGCGAGAATACATATGAAACTCTACTTACAAATACAATTATAAAGAAAGAAAGTGATAACGAGAAATTAATTAAAATGGACATCGATGAAATGAATTTCCCATTCGAATCTACAGATGACAGCCATGCGTGTAATGATAACGATATGGTAATGCAAGTTGAGGCAGAAGATGATAAAAAGTCCAATTTCAGTGATGTACAAATAATAGAGGACGAGGATCCTCTGGGAATTTTGGGTATAAATCAAGGTATATTGGAACAGAATCAGGCAAAGAACGAGCTAGAGGAGCAAAATAATTTTGAAACATATGAAAACATAGACAAATTACATTCTGAGAAAGTCACAGAAGATGTCTATAATAATGTTGGAAATGAGATGCAGAATGATAAAGTCAGCGATAAGGATGGCGAGAAACCATACGAGAAAGACTTGAAAAGAAATGATGAAGTGCAATCCAAGACGGAAGAAAAATCTAATGAAAAGTGCGAGGGGAAAGAAGAAGTCCAAAAAGTAAAAAAAAGACGTAGGAGTGCTCTCTGCTTCCTGCAGCAATGGGCCTGGAGTTGCAATAGTATGAGACGATCGGCAAGAGTGAGAAGCTCGAACAGGAGAGAAGCCGAAAGGGACGATGTTCAATTAGAAGAGACTCTTCGAAGAATATTCCCTACCACTTTACTGTATGTTTTTAGAATATTTTTCGATTTATAAAGTAATTGGATAAAATAAAGTATAATTTTTCCTGTTTCAGACCAGATTCGGTAAAATTAACTAAAGATGATCCTTCAAAGAATATAGATGACTCTATGGACACAATGGATTTGTATCAATTATTCACTAATCAAGAAAATAATAGTAACAATGCTACAGAGACTGTTAAAAGCTCCGAAAGTTCAAAGTCACCTAGTCCAGACAGAAGGTAATTATTTATATATTAAAATGTTCTGTCATATACGTATAACTTTTTGATGAGGAACGTTTCTTTTCCTTACAGTCGACAGCAGAATTATTTTGGTACAGAATATGAAATAGCTGATGTAAATATGTTCATCGCTGAGCACAGTGGTAAAAGCAATTTAATGATAATCATAGCAAGATATACTGAATTTTTATGTACTAAATGGGATCAAGAGTGGCCGAAAGGAATGTCCGATATCTATTTACAAGCTTATACATTCATGAGGTAAAGTGAACCATGGAAATTTCTTTCTTCAATCGAAACTTGTGAAAGAAACTTTTCTTTTCCTTTCATAGAGATCACATTTCACATCCATCACCGTTCGAAGAACACGCGAACAACAATATTTTGAAATTGGATGCCGAAATGACTTTATTATTTGGTGAACTTCATACTGATACATGGTTGAGTAATAAACCGGATATTGTACCTTCTTCAACGTATGGTTTCCTATTATTTTGTGACTATGCAAATGAAAAAGAAACTATAAGAAAGCACACATGTTTCGTTTTAGATTAGATAAACTTGGCACAGGTATGCCATCGGAAGAACTGGGTCATATAATATTTACAAGTGTGCGGAGAGATATTATAAATGAAGAAAATATTTTCATACTGGTGAGAGTTCTATGGCTTAAAGCCAATATTTTTCTGTGTCAAGGGGATACAGATATAGTAATCGAAACATTAGAATTGGTGAGTATCGGTTGAATATAATAATCTGGTAAAAATATTGTTTAATTTATTTACTTTCAGTTATTGAGCCATATGAAAGAATTGGAGAAACGGAATCAAAATGTTTATCTGAAATTACCGAACTGTAAATACAACTCGCAGATTAGCATTAAAATTGTGGAGAAAAAACTGAAGTCTATTCAGAGGTAGGTGTGTACTTTATGTAAAATAAAATGGAAGAATAGAATTTTGAAAAGATTGAAATTGGAAACGCAGGGGACAGAAGCTTGGCGAAATACAAACCTTACACGATGAGAAGAAGTATGCCGAGTTAGCTTACGTATTACAAGATACGTTCAAATTCGCGAAGCAAGGAAACAAATTGTTGTCTGTCAGCGACAACATAGTGGATAGAGTACAACAGTTGTCCATGTTATTAGACAGCTTATGGCAGCTGCAGCAATATGAGGAATGCTACGTGTGGGCTGAGGCCTGTCTCAACGAAGCATGGCAAAATTACTTGAATTCAACTGACGAAGTCGAACAAAAGAAATGGACAAGTTCTGTGTTGATGGCATTGGAGAAGTTGGAGGCATGCACAATCGAAGTCAGCACATTTGTTCTGAAATATTTGCCAGAGGCTCGTCTCTCCAGATTAGTGCAAAATTTGGTGCACATTGTGTGCAATCAGTTAGACGTATCAGAGACCACTGTAGGGTTGCCACTAGAAACCGTCCTTCCCTGGATTCTGTTACATTATATTTTACAATATAAAGAGGACAAAGAAAGAGCGAAAGTCGAGTCAGCATACAAGAACAGACAACACAGTTCCAACAACTATTCCGAGTCGGACGATGAAGACGACGGTGTGCCGGCATCCATCATGATTCTATTTATTGCCCACGAGTTCATGGGCAGGCATTCTTGGTGTTGTTACAACGAAGCAAAATTATTATTTTTCACGTTGAACTTGGTTATTCCAAAATTGGAAACGCCGCAGTTTTCCAGTATAAAGAGTAAGGTCTCGAAGTATCTGGAACAAATATTCTACTGCTTGTACGGCCATTATAATAAGGTGAACAAGGGACGACCTAAACACGTGGAGGAACACGGAGTGCCTCAAATGAAGGTCACCTGGGAGGGAGCACAATTACTCTTCGATTTTTACAAGCCCAAGCAAATACCGGATTATTTATCGCCGAGGTCTTTGACAATCAGTTCAGACACCGAAGATTTGTTCAAACGCATAATCAAACTGATCCCCCCAGAGAGTGATCCGAACCAAGTGATCGACGAGATGATGGCTTACACGATGGGCGAGCGAGACACTATGCCTACGGTGAAGAAGCTTCTGCCGCATTCCATGTCTACCATTTACTATTTGTTGGCCGATTTTTACTTCAAGAATTGCAAATGGAGTGTGGCGATACGATACTATCTGCTAGATCTGTGCTTTCATCCAACCAGATTAAGCTCTTGGGCAGGCTTAGCAATGTCGTCGGGCACTGTGATAGATTCTTGGTTGAACAAGTACAAGCCTATGTGAGTACGGTTGACCTAGTTAATTCTGCTTACCGAATGATCCTACCGAATTTTTCCTGATTCCAGAAACGAAGATAAACTTCTAGCGAAAGCAAAACTGACCCAATCCAGTTACAAACATGCCGTCAAACTAGACTCCTGTAATCACATCATATGGACAGAGTATGGGAACTTCGCCTATGTTGTTCACTCGTTTTGTTCGCGACTGTTGAAACAGGAGACTGATACGTTGAGCATGGAACGATTCGAGATTCTAGAGACTAGGAAAGAAGAGATGCTAGAAATAGCAAATCAGTGTTTCCAAGCCTGCGCTCGTTTGTTCATTGAAACCAAGGATGGACCGATACAGCATGACGAGAGGTGGCTCTATCAGTATATGCTTGGGAAAGTCGCAGAGAAAAAGAATCAGGAGCCACCAATATTTTTAGAACATTACGCAAAGGTAATTTGTAGCTATCGGAGAACCTATTAATATATCTATTAATAGTTATCTGGTTAGTACCACGTACCGATAATTGATTCTATTCTGTTGCAGGCCAGCGATCTATTGTATCACAACAATGCACAATATCCTCGCAGAATAAGCCACAATAGTCCCCAGCATCTCTCGGTGGAAGCATTGGAGGTCCATTATCGTATTCATGCGAGCATATTAAAGTATCTAGAGCAGCATGAGGGCAAGCCGCTGAAGAAATCGTTGGGGCAGCTGCTACATTTTCATTTGGAGAAATGTGCCGATGGACCCTTCATGAAATACAGTTCGAAGCTGAACGACAAGAACAAGGAGGACGGACTTTTCGCCGACAAGAACGGTAGTAAAGAAGTGGAGTTCGCTGCCCAGGGAGATAGGAACGTCGTCACTGTTTCTCAGCGATCGAACAGCATCGAGGAAATCGAGATAGTCGACAGAACGAACAAAGGCTTTAGTGCATGTAGTCAGCGTGTCTTGAACGAGAAATCGGAAACACGGAAGAGGTCACCCACCGACATGCCACAGGACAATCCGAAAAAAATGAAGATGGGCAACGTGTCGCATTTGCAATTGATGCAGGACGTTGTCGCTCTAATAGACGACGTAATTTCGAGGGTCTGCGATATGGTCTCGCAAAAGGAGAAAAGGGACGACATTATAATGTTGTCCAGCGACGAGAGCAACGAATCCAAGCAACAACAGAAGAAGAAAGCAAAGATGAAGAGTGTCGAGACCAAGAAAGCTCCATCGAGCACGATCAAAATGGGTAACGTATTCGAAGGCGAGACGAAATCAGAGAACGTCCAAGACTTGATGGATGCACTGATGAAACAGGCGATGGAGATCAGCCAGGAGACAAGACAGTCGACGCCGGAAGACGAGGATACGCGAAAATTCGACGGGAAATGGTTGCAGAACGACGATTTACAGTCCGCCAATAAAGAACCGAAAGACAAAACAGGGGACAAGAAGAAAGTGCTTAACAAGGAGGAGGCGTCCTTGAGCAGGAGAGGCTCGCAAGAAAGCACCACGACGACCCAAACGACGACAACAACTACGGAAACGAACAACACTAGTTCTAGTAGCAGCGACGAATCCAGCAGCAGCGACGATAGCTCCGATAGCGACAGCTCCAGCGAAACAGAAAGCGATTCTCCAGGTGAAAGCGACGTCGACGAGAAGAGAAAGAAGGACACCGATTTCGCGCAGAAAGAGGAAAACATGAGGGACGAAGATGTCGCGACTCTGATAGCGTACTGTCTAGCTGGCCTGGAACAGTGCGTTCTGAGATTTTCTGAACATTACAAATCGTTCTACAGACTGTCGCACTTCTTCTTCAACAATAAGACTGCCAAGGACATCACGAAATGCAGGAACTTGTTGTTGGACACTTACAGCTGTCAGTTTTACCGCGGCGAGAATTTCCAAGGACTGTTTGCTGATAGAAAAAGCACCAATTTCTTTAGTGTAAGTACGCATTGTATTTCTTTTTTATTCATTTTACTTTACTTTGCGCTGGACAGAATTTATTGAGTAATTTAGGACAGATATTTAAGCAACGCATCTTGGAAAACTGTTACGTTGAAACGTTGTATGATTTCCGAATTGTTTGGCTTGCCAGTCGAATGTGCGTAGTCCACAAGTACAGACCCCCTAGCCGTTCCATCGGTCACAGGACTTACATTGGTCACCGTAGACTCCTCTATCGATTCCGGCCACATCATAATCGTCGCAGCCATCGCATCCGATGAGATCCACTCGGTATTATTCGTCATACTCAGTCGCTCTGCTTTGTTCAGAAAATTCATGATAGTGGAGTTTAGCTTCCCTAGTACATTGGTACGCCACTCCTGTTTAAAGAATAAATACCACTGGAATAGGCAAATATTGACATTCCTGTGACAATAATTACCATACGTATGCTGCTGCTCTTAGCTGTTTCCCATGGGAATATAATACTGACTATATCGCTATGATTCAATACAATTGAATTGCTCTCTGGATCTTGTCCAAAATTGAACTCTACATTGGGTGAAACATTACCGTTTCCAGAGACACTGGACCCTAGTATAATAAGCTTCCCCAAGTAAGTAGCGAACAATGGATCCAACGTCATTGCTAAAGCAACATTCGTTAATGGGCCGATGCATAAAAGTGTTATCTCACCTGATGACATTCGTTAGATATTATTGAATATGAAATCGAGTAGTATACGAAGAAATAAATGGTAATTTTTAATCAGTTTTCTCAACCTGGATGCGCTTTTGTTAAGTCCAAAAGCGCCAAAGCCGCGTGTTTACTTTCATCGACGCGAGCAGTAATTGCCTCGGTGAAACTAAAATTCCCAAAACCATCCGGGCCAAAGAAGGAATCGTCAGATTTGTACTTATTTAAGAATGGCCTCTGTGCCCCTTTATACACCGGTATCTGCAGAAATTAATATAAAAATTAATTAAAAGGCGTGTTCAGCCTTCTATAAATTAGGATCAGTAATATGAAACGCTGTTTCTTGCACGAGAAAATTCAGTGGAGCCTTACATCGCCTCTGTTTGCGATCGTCAAAGTTTTCAGTACATTTCTCATCACATTGTCCACGTACGTATTTCCATATGTACAAGTGATCGCCAACACTTCGAATCCTTTTGATTTAAGAATTAAAAGAATGGCTATAGCATCATCGGCACCGGCGTCCGTATCAATTATCACTTTTCTCGAAGAGTCGGTAGACCTTGTGGGATCTTGAAAACTAACGCCCTTATACTTATTTACGATGAAGTATATACTGCGTAAAGATAATTTAGAAGTTTCTTCGTGTAATTCGAGTAACACGAAAAGGATGTTTTAATTTTTACCTAATACTGCACCATGCCAGACAAAGAAATATCGTAGCAATGTTGTTAGCAGCTTTCTTCATAACTCCAACGTTAAAATGTACAATATTATTATTAAAAATGTTGCGCACTATACACTATTCTATTGCAATTGCACTGCAAATATGTAGTGCACTGTAAATATTAACAAGACTGACTCCTCCCCGTGTTTCTTATCATCGCACTAATTCTCGCTTATCTTCCTATCTTCCCAGGGCGTGTGGCATATACCTAATCGCGAAGTAGATAGACCCGGGAGTTTTGCATTTCACATGTCGCGGTGCGTCACGTTGTTAATGCAAGTACTCAAAGAAACAAACGATGGCCGCATGCTAATGCAGTTGAGCGTACAGTTGGGGAAAACGCCAGAATCGGACAAGTAAATAAATGTTTTACTGTAAATGTTCGTATTACGACGAGAAAATGAACTATGTTATTTTTTCAGGAAATACTTACGCGATTCGGAAAGGGAGCAATTGTCTCGTCAAGCATTGACTCTTTGTTTGCAATCTCTGCGAACGAAAGTGCAATTGATGGGAACGGCCACTTCTGATCCCATATCTAACAAGAATCCAGACAATAGAACTCAAGTGCTTCTGGATACGTTCTGGGTGTATCAGAGAGCTTTAAAAAGTTTCCCTCCCAAGGAGCAAGCTATCCAAATGCTCTCTGCCTTGCTAGTGGATACGTACAAAACATACGTGGGTAACAAAGTAAGTTCTGTTTCATACAACATAGGATACAGTGCAACACTACTTTTCTCAAATTTTATGCAAACTTGTCCATCGATAGAACTTGGAAGGAAACGTATTAGAGATTGCTACGAAGTTTTGCAACGAGTACAATTATAACCGCAAGGTCCTTAGTAAGCTACTCTCCAATCTCGACAAACCTTCCACGGATGCTCAAACACAGCCTCAAGCTGCGTCGCCGACCCCTGTAGGTTTTATTCATATCGCATGCTTTTTATTCGTATACTACATATACTACACTAAAAATTGATTTATGCTAAAAATAAATGTTTTCTATATGCGAATAGGTGGTCACAACGCAGAATCAAATTAATTCTGCTTCGCCACAGTCGTCCCAAAGTCGGAAACCGTACAAGAGTCTGACATCGACTGGTCGACCACGAGGACGGCCACCAAATGTAAACAAGTATTTGCAGGCGATGCAGCAGGGCGCTAGCCCCATGAATCAATTCAACGCGAAAGCAAATTTTCATAATTACATGGACACATCCAGTGGAAATCGTTCCCTGATTAATCCATACTTCATGCATCCGTTGGTAGATCCGAACATGCTATCCACCATATTAACCAGCGGCTTGAGCGGTAGCATGATGGATCCTCTGTCGGCCATGAATTATTTGAACCAAATAGGAAGTTATCAAGACATATTCAGACAATATCAGAACAATTTGTCTTCGCTGACCAATCTTGCAGGTGGTTTAACCAGTACTATCGCCAGTGCATCCAGCATAAATAGCGTGCCAACGATGAGCACTGTCGCTCCCAACATCAATAACACACCCAGCACGGGCATCAATAGCTTGGGCAACATGAACAATCTGACGGTGCAACAATTGCTGAGTTTGAGTAACACGACCGGCACAACTGCTGCACGGTCTACGGCTATACATCAACAGCAGGCAGTTACGACGACCACGTCGATTGCCAAGGATAGGCCCAGCATATCTATAACGCCGGTCAACACGGTGCCACCTAAAACGAAACCGTCATTGAAGCAAAGCAGCTCGCAAAGCGATTCGTTGTTGTCGGCTCAGCTTCCTAAGACTCTGCAGATATCTCAACCATCGAAACAAACGTCTCTACAACCACCAACTACTCAAGTTTCCCTGCTAAAGCCATCGGTTGTTCAACAACAACAACAACAACAACAACAACAGCAGCAGCAGCAACAACAACAACAACAACAACAACAACAACACGTCAAAACCAGTCCACCGAAGCAGATGAGCGCTCCCCAAATACGAGTCTCAAAGTCATTAACCGAACCCCAACCGGCTCACAATCCTTCCTTATCACATTCCCCATTGAAAAACAACGCTACCACGAGTGCAACTACCGTGCCACAGGCTGCACATTCAACGATCGGTGCAACAATTAGTATCAAGCAATCGTTATCGATGAACGTGACTACCCCTCAATCGGGTACGTCTTTGCAACACAAGTTGCTGTCGAAGAAAAACTCTCAGCGATCGTATTCACAGCTCAGCACGCATAATCCTATCAGGAAGACGAAACCGTCGACTAAAGCGATGCCTCCGTTGCCTACCAGCTTCTCCGATCTGTTGAACACTATGCCAGCTAGTTCGTCCTCCATGACCCAATCCCCTTACATACCCTCGGAGCTGAGCGGTATCTCCGTGAGTCCCATAAATCCTCAAACCGGTATGAAGGGTCAAGCAACAAAGTATTCCAACTATAAGAAGTCTCCAGTGAAAACTAAAACACCGTCCACGGTTGAAATATCGGCTCCTCTGCCTAATTCGTTTTCTCAGACAAGCTCCTCCGTCGAAGCTCTGTCGATGCTTTCGCAATTGAAACAGCATTCACACCTGGAGATTATACCTCAGCAAAAGGCGCAAATCAAATCGACGATGGACTATTCGAAAAATTTGTCCTCAGGTATGAGCATGGTACCACAAAAACTGGTCGATCCTCTGAGGCCATCTAACGTGGTAGACTGCATAACAATATATGATTTGCCTAGAGGAAAATCGAGTAATCTTGCTAATAAAAAAATGGAGAAACCAATCAATGATAACGTCGAAATAATAATTTTAGACGATTGAGAAAAAGATAAGACAAGAGTAACGGATTCGTCTTGTCATCGATTCACCATTTAATTTAGTATAGTAATAGTTGCTCGAACAATGCTGTGGAATATCTTTGCAACTATACGAGTTTATATCGACTCGAGACGACTGAAACAAATTACTAGCCTTCTCACTTTTGTGTCTGAGTATATCATGCTGCGCAGGCCTTCCGATTGTCATTTATATATAGATTTAAAGAAATAACGATGATAGTACTAGGTAACAGATTTGCGCGCGACAAATTCTCATTTGTATAGCTTGTGTTTTATAATGAATAACACCTTATGGTACCGGTAAAAGGAAAACACTATTTATTCGTTTCTGTATTCGTGTTTTTCTATACTTTTTAAATTTGCCACGAATCCATAAAGATCCGCAGTAGTAATAATAGTAACAATAACAGAAACAAAGTATATTGTAAATTATAAAAGTATCGTGTAATTGCAACAAGGAGCAGTGAAAATGTAATTTTTCAAACTTATAACGCTAGCATAGTTGAATGTCGCTCACATATTAACAACGTCCTAGAAACAACTACTAATGTTTTACACAATGCACCAATCGATGAACTTTTCTTTTATATGTAAAAATAAATTAGATAACAGTCAAGTATAATATTACCTATTAGCAAGACTTGTACATTTTCTAATAATTAATTTATAAATACATCTTTACAATGAACAAGAAACATGTGCATAATGAAGGTGTTTCAAATATCGTTCGCNAACTACTCAAGTTTCCCTGCTAAAGCCATCGGTTGTTCAACAACAACAACAACAACAACAACAACAGCAGCAGCAGCAACAACAACAACAACAACAACAACAACAACACGTCAAAACCAGTCCACCGAAGCAGATGAGCGCTCCCCAAATACGAGTCTCAAAGTCATTAACCGAACCCCAACCGGCTCACAATCCTTCCTTATCACATTCCCCATTGAAAAACAACGCTACCACGAGTGCAACTACCGTGCCACAGGCTGCACATTCAACGATCGGTGCAACAATTAGTATCAAGCAATCGTTATCGATGAACGTGACTACCCCTCAATCGGGTACGTCTTTGCAACACAAGTTGCTGTCGAAGAAAAACTCTCAGCGATCGTATTCACAGCTCAGCACGCATAATCCTATCAGGAAGACGAAACCGTCGACTAAAGCGATGCCTCCGTTGCCTACCAGCTTCTCCGATCTGTTGAACACTATGCCAGCTAGTTCGTCCTCCATGACCCAATCCCCTTACATACCCTCGGAGCTGAGCGGTATCTCCGTGAGTCCCATAAATCCTCAAACCGGTATGAAGGGTCAAGCAACAAAGTATTCCAACTATAAGAAGTCTCCAGTGAAAACTAAAACACCGTCCACGGTTGAAATATCGGCTCCTCTGCCTAATTCGTTTTCTCAGACAAGCTCCTCCGTCGAAGCTCTGTCGATGCTTTCGCAATTGAAACAGCATTCACACCTGGAGATTATACCTCAGCAAAAGGCGCAAATCAAATCGACGATGGACTATTCGAAAAATTTGTCCTCAGGTATGAGCATGGTACCACAAAAACTGGTCGATCCTCTGAGGCCATCTAACGTGGTAGACTGCATAACAATATATGATTTGCCTAGAGGAAAATCGAGTAATCTTGCTAATAAAAAAATGGAGAAACCAATCAATGATAACGTCGAAATAATAATTTTAGACGATTGAGAAAAAGATAAGACAAGAGTAACGGATTCGTCTTGTCATCGATTCACCATTTAATTTAGTATAGTAATAGTTGCTCGAACAATGCTGTGGAATATCTTTGCAACTATACGAGTTTATATCGACTCGAGACGACTGAAACAAATTACTAGCCTTCTCACTTTTGTGTCTGAGTATATCATGCTGCGCAGGCCTTCCGATTGTCATTTATATATAGATTTAAAGAAATAACGATGATAGTACTAGGTAACAGATTTGCGCGCGACAAATTCTCATTTGTATAGCTTGTGTTTTATAATGAATAACACCTTATGGTACCGGTAAAAGGAAAACACTATTTATTCGTTTCTGTATTCGTGTTTTTCTATACTTTTTAAATTTGCCACGAATCCATAAAGATCCGCAGTAGTAATAATAGTAACAATAACAGAAACAAAGTATATTGTAAATTATAAAAGTATCGTGTAATTGCAACAAGGAGCAGTGAAAATGTAATTTTTCAAACTTATAACGCTAGCATAGTTGAATGTCGCTCACATATTAACAACGTCCTAGAAACAACTACTAATGTTTTACACAATGCACCAATCGATGAACTTTTCTTTTATATGTAAAAATAAATTAGATAACAGTCAAGTATAATATTACCTATTAGCAAGACTTGTACATTTTCTAATAATTAATTTATAAATACATCTTTACAATGAACAAGAAACATGTGCATAATGAAGGTGTTTCAAATATCGTTCGCTTTTGTAATATAAATCAAGTAATCAGTTTTTCGAACGTGTAAAATTTATTTCTTTGGAAGGCTTATTATTATTAAAATATAAAATGTTATATATGTAAGTTACTATATTATTTGTTATTCTGGGGTTTTCGTACTAAAAAGGCATATTTTATTATATGTATACAAATACGAAATATTTATACAATCACATTTGCGTTTATTTCTGTGACAACTTAAACGAATTTGCGGGTAAACCACGTACATCTAAACCTTTAACAGCAAATAGGTAACCTGCTTGCGGTTGCTTTTCCAACTGATCCACTTTCAGTCCCACACGCGACGATGTTACATATAACGTGTCATAATTGGTACCACCAAATGCAACGCTGGTTATAAGTTCAGCATTAGGGATCTTAACAAACCGCAGCAATTCGCCCGTTTCTGGTTTTATATTCAGTATCTATAAATATTCGTTATTGTGTTTCATTTCAGAATACAATGAATTTTGACAGCAACTATAATTAAAATACTCACACCACCTCCACCATACACAGCCACCCAAAGATTCCCATTTGTATCTATAGTCATACCATCTGGAAATCCTTTGATATTATTTTCTCGAAGATCAAAGACTGTTCTTTTATTAGCTGTATAAAGAAATTAATTAAATGTTACTCCATTCGATACGATAAGAAAGCATTATATCGTAATGTAAATTGTAAATTTCTTACATATAGCTCCTGTCCGAGCATTGTAATTGTATGCCACTACCCGATAGCTGAGCGAATCAATGTAATAAAGTGTGTTATCGTTAGGACTCCATGCCACTCCGTTACTTATACCTACAGGAGTTACTTGTTTTTTTAGAAGAAGATCAGCATCGAGACTGTAGAAAGATCCTTTGTTAGGAGCAAATGACCCATTTACTTCACGAGCCATTGTTCCTAGGAAAATTATTTTATTATGTAGAAATAAAATTTATAACAATAAATTTACATAATAGTCTACAACGAACCACCCCATAATCTTCCAGAAGAATCTACTTTCGCATCGTTCCACCTGATTTCTGCAGGATCACTGTCCAAAGCGGTCAGCATTTTAATTGCACACTTTGAAAGAGTTCCTTTTCCATTCCATGTAACTAGCACCAAATCTGTATTAACTCCAGCTAAAAATGTATCAGGAATACCATCAACAGGAACTACAAATCCAACGGTTCCATTTTCTAAAAATCATAATTATAAAATTTATTGTGTTTCTGTGAAGCAAATTGTAGACAATATAAGTAAAAAACTGTGCTTACCTATGTAGGCAGATGTAATAGTCGACGTCGAAGAATCGTACCTAAGTATTTCTTGGGCAAGTATATCAACGAAATATAATGTTCCAGAAGTATGATCCCAATGTGGACCTTCTCCCAATGTGTACGGACCTGCTAACGGTATTACAGTCGGTTCTGACATCTTCCTAAATAGTAACAATAAATAATATTAGTAAATACTATAATACTATAAATAATACAGCACAACATACAACTATAAACATTTCATACATCTGTACACAACATAGTTATTTTATATATATACAAGACCACAAACATGCAATACGTGTATTATATAAGTTGTTACATACATTCATAATTTCCTTTTAAATGGATACTTAAAGAACAGAATTGTTGTCATTCAAACATTTGAATATTGTACTTAATAATTATATAGTATATTACATACCTACCTTAAACTGTTTACTTGTAGTGTTCAGGAGATTTCAATTTTGATCGAAAATTGGTACAGTTCCGACGTTTTGTACAAATCCAAGAGTTCTAATGATGATGTGGACTTAATATATCCATGTCCCTCTCTCGCTCTCTTTTATACTTAGGCATGTATATCTATAATCTATATGACCAATAAACACATGTTTATGAGATAAAGGTACAAGTTAACATATGTACACATGTACCTATAATTTCTGCATAACTTTTAATCACTTATAATTACGTTGATCCAATACCTTCTGCATAACTTTTAGTCACTTTTAATTACGTTGATCCAATACCTTCTGCATAACTTTTAATCACTTTTAATTACGTTGAAGTACACGGACATCCAATGGTAGTACATATCCATATTGTATGCACCTACATATGTACATGTTATCTGTTCAGGCTGTTACATCACCGACGTTTAATTAAAAGGTTATCGAAAAGTAGATAAACGCCGTAATACCGTTCAAAAAAAGAGATACCGTTATTGCTGTAAATCTACAATATAAATTTGTCGACTTCCACAATGCATTTGCATATACGTATAATTAAAATACAAATTTTTAATAGTAACATGCATATGTGACGTGTAATAATACGTACACGTAAAAGACTAATCTAAAAAATAAGAAACAATGGTTTCATTTAGTTTTGCATTTTATTTCGATAATTACAAACTTTACGCAATATAAGCTAATTCGCGCTTTGGAAAAGTTATACCCATATATCAGATCTATTTGTATCATTCATGTAGTAGATTTGAATCGATCATTTAGTACAAACGAATTTGCTAGAAGGCCATGTACACCCAAATCATGTACACTGAAAACATAACCGGCGTGGGGTTGTTTAGTTAATTCCTCTGCGTTTAAATCACGCCTGGATGTAGTTACAAATAAAATATCTAATAGAGGTCCTCCGAATGTGCAGCTAGTTACATAGTCCACGGGTAGCTTCAAGAATTTAATCACTCGATCCGTACGAGGATCAACGTGAAGTACCTGTTCGACATTAGACAAATATAGCATACAGAGTGCAGGGAATGCGCAGACATTATATAGATATCATGGTTTCAAAGATTCTATTTTTCAACATGTACTTACGCCGCCTCCACCGTACAAAGCGATCCAAAGATTGCCGTTTACGTCTATAGTCATTCCATCTGGTAAACCCGAAACATTGTGTTTCGCGAGATCAAACGCGGTTCGTTTATTACCTATGAAAATCGATCATTATTACGTATGTACATATTTTAATGACACTTCATTGTTAAGCGTTAATTGTATCGAATTCCATACTTATGGTTCCAGCGATCGGATCGAAATCGAATGCAGCAATTTTTCGTGTAGGGGTGTCTATGTAGTAAAATGTATCATCCTCGCGATTCCAAGCTAATCCGTTGCTATTTGTAACAGGAGATAATTCTATCTTCGGTTTCAAGTCAGAGTCGATGCGATACAATGTTGCCTGATCAGGTATAACAACATCGTTCGCTTCGGGACCGATTGTGCCTATTTCGTTAATTCAAAATCTTTGCTGTTATTCGCCTACCATTATTTCGAATCCAACCTAGCTTTCCCTCTTATCTGTCCCTACCATTACACGCAGTCAAATTCTAATTGAAGGTTACATATATGTACATATACAATATCCATATGTAGTTACCACCCCAAAATCTTCCAGAAGAATCCACTTTTCCGTCGTTCCATCTAGTACCATTTCGATTAGTGTCGACAATGGCCAGTGTCTGGGAAATCGATCGTGTAACATTTTTATGGCTGTTCCATGTAACCAGAACGAAATCGGTTCCACTACCAGCCACAAATTTATCTGGTTCATCGTAAACAGGAACCGCCACTCCGACAGGACCATTTTCTACCATAATCATGTAACATAGATTTTTATTCGGTCAATTACGCATACTTTGTGTAGATCGAAAATTAAAGAAAATTATCGGTTTACCTATGTAAGTGCAAGTAACATCTCTCGTTATAGGATCACATCTGCAAAGCTTCTGTTTCTCTATGTCAACGAAATAGAGTTTTTCAGTACGATGGTCCCAATGAGGACCCTCGCTATGTTCGAATGGACCTACCAGTGGAATAATTTGATGTGCTTTGCTGCGAATACGATGTGCATACGTACATATTTATTTCTTATTACAGTTTATAATATACATATGTGTACGTACAAAGAATGTGCGAAATCCTTTCACTTACCTACTATGTGTAAAAGCAGCAATGTTTATCAGTCCAATAAGGAAAGTTTTATAAACAATGTTCCACATTATTCTATAATTACTCGTACGAAACAATTAAGAAAAAAGTACAGAAGCGAACTGTGAAACATAGGAAATTTAAAAGGACTGCTTCAAAGTGATCAGTTTCAAAGAAACGCTACAAATGAGACTTGAATGTTAGTTTGCATTGTATATATAACGTCAGTTTGCATCTATGTGCATACTATCCAGGCCATTCTGAAAATTTAGTAATTAATAAAGAACTTTTTATTGTCGCATTACGTATCTTCAACAGATTCGCTATGTTTTTTCGCAAATATGCTTTAGATGATTTTCATAATAAAGTAACAGAAACGTGAAAAACATATGCCTGTGATCGCATATAGATAATACTCGTAAGACTTGTAAATTACATGACACGCAGTCTTTGAAAATTTAAACACTCTAAATTATCCTTTCCTTGACAGTGACACGATATGGATAATTTGCATAAATATATATATATATATAATATAACATTCTCTAAAATTTGTCCATTCAAATAATTAAATTAAGCTTTCTCAAATGACGAAATTTAAATATCCGATTATTCGATATTTTCAGGCGACTGCGAGACTGTAATTTTCATAAATTTGCGAAATTATGTAAGGCAAAAATGTTCTACCGATAATAGAATGTATCATAGACGACTTTAAATTCTAACTTGTATAGAATGCTCATAATAAATTACTTCGTACAAATTTGTACACGTGCAATGACTAAACTTGTATTTTATTTCGATCACGGTTTCGAATAAATCTATTACACTAAACATATAATAATAATTACTACATTGGAATACAAATTGTTGATTGAAAATATTATTAAATAATATTTAATTAAATATCCTTTTTAGATTTTATTAAAGAAAATAGGCTTTAGACCTACTTTTATAAATGTAACTCTAATACTTATCGATACTACGTTTATATCTTTTTTTATTTTTCATTTTACATACATTAAAACTGGTTAGGCAATACTTGCGTCTCTTGTGGTGAAATCAAAAAGCTTCGTTCAGAGTACGTACAGCGCCAATTAGCATAGCAGTGAAACGCTCAAACTGCTAATCAAACAGTAGCGCATCTGACGGCGACGTATCAAAGCTTCGTTCAATGTCCATACAGCGCCAATTAGCATAGCGATAAAACGCTGAAACTGGTAAACAAAATTACCGATAATCGATTTTGGCTAACAGTTTGAGCATTTTACCACTGCCCCAATTGGCGCTGTACAAAGGCCAAGAAAAGCTTCTTTATTTCGTCACAAGTGCCGACACTATCGTATAAAAAGCACAGTGAACATGAATGCTTAGGCTTAGACCATACGTATGTGCGTGGTCTAAGTGATTTAATTTTCAAATTAAAATCATGTTTGATACGAGCACAAAATATAGTCGAAAGTGTATCACGTCGATTTCTTAGTTCATTTCACACGTAAGACGATCGTGCACATGAAAATAGTATTTGAACGTCAAGATCCAGTGTTTGTTCTACACATCGAGTTTCCGATCTTATAATTTTGTACATCTTAGTAACGAATATCCGTCTTGCGGTGCGTAAATGTTTGAACGGTATCACATCGTTGCATGTGTACCGTGCATTTTCTAGCATTGTGCGATAACCAGAAGACAGTAGAATGCTCTAGATCGTACGCAAAAATGCTTGGCATAATTGTGTCTGGTCGACTAGTGAGTAGTGGTTTGTCTTATAATTAATTTAAAATCTTTTACTGCATGTAATTTGTTCGGTTTACAAACCTGTCAGTTTCATGTGACCACGTTACTAACATATACAAAGTACATTTTGTAACTCTGAACAAGTTAATTGCTTAGTTAACCTTTAGATGGAACTATTTTATTGTTTGTGTTTTGATTTCAACCATTTTCATCCATCCGTAAAAATATAATGTGTTAACTTATCATAATGAATCGCGAATTATTTATCTCACTTATAAAATATCTTGTAGGTGCAGACGGACTTTCAACAAATAGGAGAAAATCAATTCTTAATAACAGTACCTGACGCAGATAACATAAATCATATCGTGGTATTCCTTACAGGTACTATAATTTTCCCCGAAGGAACGGGTGGTGCAGGTATATATTGTACAGTTCAGCGATTCGATAAATATAAGAACATTTATTAATTAAAATTTCATTGATTTAGTGTATTTTAGTTGGCCGGATTCGAATGCTCCGCCAAATTGGCAATTCCTTGGATACATTTCCAATGCTAAACCATCGGCTATATTCAAAATATCAACATTGAAAAGGAATCATGAGTTCGAGAACAGTAACCTAGGAATATTTGGAATTGGAAAAATCTCGCATGTAGCACAAATAGGTGTTTCGATAGAACCTCTAGGAGCTATAGAATTACAGGCAGCTACAGTGACCGCAGCCACGTCAAATTCTTTCTTAGAATTTGTGCAAAAAATGCTTACCAGTTTCTTGAATTACGTGTCAAGTTTTTCCGTGACTCAGGCACAAATGACACCGAATCCGACAGAGAACTTTGTACCGCTCTCCACTATTCAAGGATGGTACGAAACCTTTGAAAGAAGACTACAACAGAATCCAAATTTTTGGAAGGCTTAGTCACGGAAGCGTAATTAACTCTCGTATAGTTTATTTACGTTTTATGTGACAGCACAGTGTTTTGTAAAACATGTGCACCTTACAACAGAATACGATGTAACGGGCGTGCGCATTACATTCGTAAAATTTAATCTTTTTTTATATTTTCATTGATATACAATATATAGTAATAAGAACAACCACAACGCTGTCGCGTACTTCAATGAGGGTACAGAGTTTATCACCTGAAAAATGTGCCTTAACGGCCATGCATTGACTTTTTCCTTCTGTTCGAAAGAATTATCCTCTAAATAATATATACACAGAAATATAATGTGTTTGAAAGTTGGCTAGTTTTGTTAATGCATAACAGAAAACGTGATCAATCATCTGGAAAACGAGTGAGCTGTGAAGAATGGTCGACGCACAGAGCAACCACCATGAGTATGACAGTGCATTTTGATGTGTCTTTCTTGAAACTAAATTTATTAAATTTATTAAAGCCGATTTCCTATAATAACATTTTTTTAAAACATTGCATCCTTTAAAGAATTATGATATTTCTGCTTTGGGCATTTCGCCACCAGATGGCGAATTGTTTTCGATTATGGACTATGGTTTTCGATGCTGTTAGAGAGTACAACACTTGCGTCGTGTGTCATGCAATTGCAATTCAGGTTTTTCATTGGTAGAGGTATAGAGGTATATATTGCAGCTGCTGTCTCGCTCGGAGAGCCCAGCCCACTTTCTCCGGTAGCATGGAGTAGCGAAGGAGACGTACATGAAAATTTCTTGGTGTGTGTGTTAATCGGACCTCCCAGCATCTCGATCGTTCGTGGAATTTCCACTCGAGACCAGTGGAGTCAGAGATTCTGATCGGAATCTGCTCCAAGTGGCGGAAAGGAGACCTCACAAATGGGATTGGATGATGCCAATGGATTTCATTTGCAACGATCGCTATTTGCAAACGACAATGTTATCGACAGATGTGTGCATAATGAAGTAATGCGATTGCGTGGTCGTTGCATAGATGACGCTACCGACGTTTGGTAATTTGAGGCGCGGCGCAGATTGTACGCGTGCTTTTGCATTCGCATTTCGCATGCATCGCCGTTCCGGGCTGCAATTCTATTCGATCGAAAAATGTGTCTTCCGCTATATTTGAGCGCGATTCGGCGCACCGTTCTTACAAGCGTTCGTTTCTGAGGAATTGTTTTCGAGGCGATTACGTTCCCGTTCCCGTTTCCGTTTCGGCCACCGTGTCACGTTCTCGCCTCACGTTTCACTAGATATCAAATTTATTCCATGTATTTTATGGACCGTGATCGACACTGAACCACATCGTTAATACCCTAGCCACGGATGGTCATCGTGCTTGAGCCAAACTCATCCGATTTCTCTGATCCGATTGTATTTATAGTGTCATCTGGTTTATTTTCGCATTCGTGCAGCTTCTTTGGAAAGAAGGATGCTGCTATCCGCTGGCTGACAGCGTTTCCGTGTATCCGTAAGTCTCATTTAATCAAGAACACAGCCACGAAATTATATACATACTGTGAAAAAAAGACTGACTATATAGTAAAGTCTTCTTTGCATGTATGTATTTGGCTGTCATGTGTAAATGCGCGAGCTCTCTCTTTCTCTCTCTCTCTCTCTCTCTCTCTCTCTCTCTCTCTGTATATATATATATATACATATATATGTATATATCTATATATATATCTAAATATACAATAAGGTGAGTGTGCGCTCGCGCGCAGGGTCGTCGTGTGTGCTATGTATGTGCATGTGTAGAGTGTGGCTGTATATATGTGCGGGCACGCATATATGCATCGGGAGCAATATGTACAGGGTTTAACACATTATATTTCGGAATTTTCTATTCCCATGTGTAGATCGGTTGCTATTACACACGAAATCATTGGAAATCGTTTACGGCGTTGATTATCCATTTGGTGCACAAGGTGCAAGCAAATTAGAGAACTGTATTGCAAAGGTATTATTCTTAGCGTAACAAACGTTGTAACGTTAGAACTGAAAGAACCGATTTTATCTGTGCTAAATTCAATTTACCTCTTAACCGAACTAAACTATTCTCGCGTGTGCCGCCGGGTATTGTCAACCCGTCATACGTAGATAAGTACGGGCTTGACCAGTACTCGTCACATACATGCGCGCGCGCGCGCGCATACGTAGATACATTATATGTTCATACATAGTAGATTACCAATGTAATTAAAAATATTTTGAATGTCGCATTAATATTATAAAAATTGGTAACATGTAAGAAATTATTAACATTCTCATTTGTGGACAAACAGAAAATGGTATATTGAAGTGAAAAGAAACCCTAGTGTGCTCAAAAATTCATTACTTTGAGAGATATTGCTTCTTATCTGTAAGATAGGGAGTGTCCTTCCACACGATTACATTGTTCATAATGGTTTACCTTAACATTTGAATAAAACACAACGATAACAGCTATTGTGCATTTGTGAACTACTTGGTTGCGTAACATTGCCATTAATGTTACAACTCGGTTAGCAGGTATGACTTTGACAATAGAAAAGTTAATCCATTTGCTATAACATACTGAAATGGAAGCAAATTGCAAGCTAAGGCTTAAGGATTTTATAGCATAAGGATTAACAAGTTTTTCTATTTTAACCTGAATGCTTTCTAAGTGTCGTTATTATTTTCATTTACATAATATATCTATCGACATTGTTCATCGTGCGTATTTGCCATGCTTAAAAACATGCTCACAAATGTCTTGCTCTAGCATATGTCCCTTTGTCCTATAGTGTGGTGGTTTGTCTTCTTGTGCGGTGAAGGACGTGGATCTGTCTAGTGCGAGTTGCTGGTATCAGAGTGAAAAGCATATAATAAAGCTCAAAGAAAAGAATGGAAGCTGCTATAGCTGGACGTAGGCGGACCACCGCGAGGCATTCGGCAGAGGATCAAGCACTTGATCAGATAGCCAAGGAGGTATGGCCTGATTATTTTACGAGCAACAAAATAGCAAACAGGAGATAAGATTACAACAAGCAAAGATATATTATTTATAAGAAAATATTACTTATACAAGTATCGTATCGACAACATTGAATATATTGCTATACGTACGCTTGACCTTGGTGCTTATATGTANACATCGTTAATACCCTAGCCACGGATGGTCATCGTGCTTGAGCCAAACTCATCCGATTTCTCTGATCCGATTGTATTTATAGTGTCATCTGGTTTATTTTCGCATTCGTGCAGCTTCTTTGGAAAGAAGGATGCTGCTATCCGCTGGCTGACAGCGTTTCCGTGTATCCGTAAGTCTCATTTAATCAAGAACACAGCCACGAAATTATATACATACTGTGAAAAAAAGACTGACTATATAGTAAAGTCTTCTTTGCATGTATGTATTTGGCTGTCATGTGTAAATGCGCGAGCTCTCTCTTTCTCTCTCTCTCTCTCTCTCTCTCTCTCTCTCTCTCTGTATATATATATATATACATATATATGTATATATCTATATATATATCTATATATACAATAAGGTGAGTGTGCGCTCGCGCGCAGGGTCGTCGTGTGTGCTATGTATGTGCATGTGTAGAGTGTGGCTGTATATATGTGCGGGCACGCATATATGCATCGGGAGCAATATGTACAGGGTTTAACACATTATATTTCGGAATTTTCTATTCCCATGTGTAGATCGGTTGCTATTACACACGAAATCATTGGAAATCGTTTACGGCGTTGATTATCCATTTGGTGCACAAGGTGCAAGCAAATTAGAGAACTGTATTGCAAAGGTATTATTCTTAGCGTAACAAACGTTGTAACGTTAGAACTGAAAGAACCGATTTTATCTGTGCTAAATTCAATTTACCTCTTAACCGAACTAAACTATTCTCGCGTGTGCCGCCGGGTATTGTCAACCCGTCATACGTAGATAAGTACGGGCTTGACCAGTACTCGTCACATACATGCGCGCGCGCGCGCGCATACGTAGATACATTATATGTTCATACATAGTAGATTACCAATGTAATTAAAAATATTTTGAATGTCGCATTAATATTATAAAAATTGGTAACATGTAAGAAATTATTAACATTCTCATTTGTGGACAAACAGAAAATGGTATATTGAAGTGAAAAGAAACCCTAGTGTGCTCAAAAATTCATTACTTTGAGAGATATTGCTTCTTATCTGTAAGATAGGGAGTGTCCTTCCACACGATTACATTGTTCATAATGGTTTACCTTAACATTTGAATAAAACACAACGATAACAGCTATTGTGCATTTGTGAACTACTTGGTTGCGTAACATTGCCATTAATGTTACAACTCGGTTAGCAGGTATGACTTTGACAATAGAAAAGTTAATCCATTTGCTATAACATACTGAAATGGAAGCAAATTGCAAGCTAAGGCTTAAGGATTTTATAGCATAAGGATTAACAAGTTTTTCTATTTTAACCTGAATGCTTTCTAAGTGTCGTTATTATTTTCATTTACATAATATATCTATCGACATTGTTCATCGTGCGTATTTGCCATGCTTAAAAACATGCTCACAAATGTCTTGCTCTAGCATATGTCCCTTTGTCCTATAGTGTGGTGGTTTGTCTTCTTGTGCGGTGAAGGACGTGGATCTGTCTAGTGCGAGTTGCTGGTATCAGAGTGAAAAGCATATAATAAAGCTCAAAGAAAAGAATGGAAGCTGCTATAGCTGGACGTAGGCGGACCACCGCGAGGCATTCGGCAGAGGATCAAGCACTTGATCAGATAGCCAAGGAGGTATGGCCTGATTATTTTACGAGCAACAAAATAGCAAACAGGAGATAAGATTACAACAAGCAAAGATATATTATTTATAAGAAAATATTACTTATACAAGTATCGTATCGACAACATTGAATATATTGCTATACGTACGCTTGACCTTGGTGCTTATATGTATGCATGGTTGTGTATAGTTGGGGATTCATTATTTCTGCAACAACAAAAAATGTTGTTGAAATTTTAATACATATATAGGCAATGTACATATCATTAACGCAACTAATATTTTATCTATCCGTTATACTATAAAAGAAATGTAAGTATTCAAAGCAGATTAATCAAGCTTTGCACTTATATGTACACAAGCTTGAACAACTCAGACGCGGTAATATATTTATGAGAGCATTTGTATATTATTTGTTAATGTGTCAATAATAAATTGAATATGAAAATATGTTTTTGGTAACAGGATGGATTTTCCATACATACTTTCAGGCAGAAGCTAGATTAGCTGCAAAGAGACATGCAAGAGCTGAAGCAAGAGAAATACGAATGCGTGAATTAGAAAGACTACAAAAAGAGGCGGAGGAGAATGCGGATAGAGTTTATGACATGTGTTCGGGTATGTGTTATATAAGAAATATGCGCGAATACATAATGACATTCGCAAAGAAAATTATGTAGTTCTCTTTTTACTTTATTTCAGCCGACGTAAATAGGACAATGAGAGTAACTCCAGACTCTGTAAGGACGACGCGCCTCCTTACAAATTCCAACAATTTTCAATCCAGTCGTAGGTCTTCCGAAGACTCTTTAGAAGATGCAGGTCTAAGTAGAGATCTCAGGGTATGTAAAACGGAACCCCTATTTTATCAGTCGTGGGAACGATAATTTAGATACATTTTTGCTGATAATTTATTTGCAGTTAGAACTAAAGGAGTTTGAAGAGAAATTTAGGAAGGCTATGATAGCCAATGCTCAGTTAGACAATGAAAAGTCTTCTTACTCCTATCAAGTTGATTTATTGAAAGACAAGTTGGAAGAATTAGAGGAAACAGTTGCACAACTTCGTAGAGAACTTAGAGAGAAGAATCGAGAATCTGAACAGTTGAAAAGAATCAGTCAAAGATTGAAAGAAGATTTAGATATATGTCATGCACAATTAATAGAAAGAGACGCGCTTATACAAGTTTGTATACGTTAAGATTAAGTTGTGATATATTAGTTCTCGAATTTATCGATTTCAAAAATCTAATGATTTTAGGAGAACGGTTTAGTTATTCTTGACGATGAGGAGAGTGAAAACGAAGATAACGATATTGAAAACGGTCCGCGTCCAAGACGAAGAGTACTAGTCAGTACAGAAGCAGCAGAGTTGTTGCAAAATGCTGGGAAAGGTTCATTAGGTGCGTCTAACTCATAATTAACGACCAGCAAGATTTATTCGTATTCAGAAAAGAAAATAATATACAGGGTGTTCCAAAATTATGGTACTTCCAGGAAAAACGAGGGGTTCCTGAGGTTATTTGAAATATCTTTTTCCTTAGCGAAATAAGATGGCAGATTGCATTTGCGCTAAGGAGGAGATATTTCAAATGACCTCAAGAATCCTTCGTTTCCCGGAAGTACTATAATTTTAGGATATCTTGTGTATCGTTTATGAATGTTACAGATGTCCGGCTGCGAAAATTCGCTTCTGAAAAAAAGGAATTACAAGATGAAATTCGGCATTTAAGATTGGAATTAGAAGAATCCAGGAATCGCATTAGGTCCGAGAAATCACCTGGTTCAGTATTAGGTAAGCGTTCACTTCGACATGTGACATTTTATTTCCTTTCAACGTTGTGGCATTTGTTGCGTACGACAGGTTGTTTGTCAGATTCCGAGGATGTGCAACGAGAAGCGAATAAATTGTTAGCCGATTACAAGTTCAAGTTACAGAAGGCAGAGCAAGACATGTCGACTTTACAAGCCACCGTTGCCAGGCTAGAGAGCCAAGTAATACGTTACAAGTCAGCCGCAGAAGCGTCAGAGAAGGCGGAAGACGAATTAAAAGTTGAAAAACGAAAACTTCAAAGAGAAGTCAGAATCAGTTACTTGATCCGAATTATGATTCATTCAGTTGTCGGAGATCATTGTTAAATCAACTTTGTATTTTTTTTTTCTTTGCAGGTCAGAGAGACCCAAGGCCGCGTCGAAGAATTAGAGACTGCGAATTCACATTTACAAAGGCGACTAGATAAACTTAAAAACGCAAAATCAGCTCTGTTGAAAGAACTTTGACGGGCCGATTTCTTTGGATCCATACAATGAGTCTGCCATTTTCTTCTCTATTCTGCAAAAACCGTGTGCCGATGTTGCCTCGACATAAATACTACTTAACACTTTAAATATAATTTATAGACAAAAAAAAGAAGAAAGAAACGTGGAATATGCATAGTAACGTTATACAATTTTAACTGAATTTCAAAGAAAATATTACGCGAGCACGAGATCATCAAATGTCTACCTAGAATGATGTTTGTGCTTGTATAATTTGTGTTACTTAAACTGCTGTGAAAAAAAGTTGCTGTTTTGTATTCAACATGTTCTTTACGATACTAACCGTTATTCTGCATTTCTCAGTCGGAGAGGGCGGGTGGAGGGAGAGGATAAAAAAAGGGGGGGGGGGGATTAACAATCCTTTTCCATGCATTTTAAGCGTTGAATTTGTAAACAGTTATGAAGTCGATTCGTAATTTGTACATTATGTGACGAAACACGCTGGCTTGTACATCATGTGATTAGAAATAATATTCTCTATGCTTCTATTTACATTATTTCCCATAAAAGGCAACAAAGGAGACGTAGATAGATAACGCTGAACAAAAGAGTAACAAAATATATATGTTTCTAAGACACATAATAATTACAATTCAATGATGTACACGTCAGCGGAAAAAGGTAATTCTACGGATAAGTGTAATTTGTTTTTACATCGAATAATTTATAAATATATTTCTAAAGATGCGAGATATTTATAACTTCTATAAAGAAACACGTTATAGTTAAAACTAGACACGGAACGGAAGTAAGCAACGATGTTGGTTCTTTTTATTTATTGGAACGGTGACCACTCAAATTCGATAAACATTTTCAATTTTATATCGTACTTGTTATACTCGGGATAAATTGATATCACAATTTTTCTATGCCATTTACAGACAAAATTTCGAATATTTCTTACTGCTCTGATCGTATTGCCAGTAATTTAGTGTTCAAAAACTTTGCAAGGGGTTTCAAAAGGTATGGTCTAAAAAAAAAACTCTTGACTAAAAAGAAATGTTTATATGAGATTACTATGAAAAATTTATTGTAAGGCGATTTAATAAAATAACAGTGAAATAATTATTACAAAATCTGTCGTGTTTTTTAACAAGTTGTTTTTGTTAAGGATGACTGATTTCATTTGAATGCAATATGTAATTCCCTGTAATCTTTTCAAAAATATTTATTTCACTTATATGTTGTAAAAAACAATGCGAACGATTACATGCAATATTTTTCTAAGAGTTTAGATTACGAACAAAAATACAGCATAAAGAACATATATTCTATATATAAATCCAAAGCTTCATTGCACTATCCTATACAGGGTGCTAACGTCAAAGAACACAGCACAAAGAGGGAGAGGGACATCACATCATTTATTACTCAAAAAAGCAATGCATTAGCATGAACACCCTGTATAAAAAGAGTACCTGTGAAATACTGTCTGACATATAATACCATTTTATACAAGAATATGTTGGCAATATATTCACTAGATTTACTTAGTGCGATCATAGAGATATATACTTTAAAAGCTCAAACTTGGCACGTACTTTTTAGTCTGTTCTTACTTGTCCACTTAGGATCTTTGGGGCTGGTTGGCGGTTTAGGAGATTTTAGTATAACCATGGGCTTGTAAACGGGGATCGGTGTCGCTTTCACTTCTGCAAATTTCCGTAATTCGGCTCTTTCAGATTTTTCTTTTAGCAATTTTTGTTTTTCTTCATGCTGCCGTTTCGCTTCCATTTCTTGTTCTCTCTTTTTCAGCTTCTCATCAAAATCATTTCGACCTTTCGTTCTTTTGTCAGTGTTTAATTTGAACAGACTTTTCTTTTGATTGGCTTTCACAATTTCGTTATTGTCATTGGTGCTTTTGAACGGCTTCTTGTGCGTCTCATTATTCGCACATTGCTTTACCATTTTATTTTTTTGATCATTTATATTTGTAACAATATTTGGCTGCTTATTCTCTTGATCGATAGGATTTTTCACTTGTTTCGTCATGGAATTCTTGTTCAAACTTTTCTCTTTGAATACACTATTTATTACTACTGGTTTAAAAGTTGGAGCAGGATTCGCGTGAAACACAGGGACTTTTTTATCATTCTCCTGTATTTTATTCACAAGTTCTTCTTTCTTTTTAGCCAAGTATTTGTCCCTTTCTGCAAAACTAAAGGGACACGGGACTACTGTGCGTTTCTTTGTCACAATTTCCTTAACAATATTTGTTGACTTGGAAAATTTTGGTAAGGGTTTTGCATGAAACTCTGATTTGAGTTTAATCGTTTCTTGCATTTGTAGATTCTTTAATTTCTCCTCTTTTTTTAACTGAAATTCTTTGTTACGTGCTTCAAAACTGAATGGCAAGACAGTCATCACTGGTTTCATAGTATTATTTAAGGCAATACTGGAGGCATTAGTAGAGTGACAATTTGGTATAAAGTATTTATTTGTTTGTTCTTTAATTATTTTTCTGACATTTGAGGCACTGAGAGAACGACTGATTGGTCCACTATTTTTCTGTGTTTCCTCTTTATCTGCTTGTTTAGTAATGTTTGAAGCACTTAGGGAATAACTCATTGATTTAGTGTTTTTGGAAGTCTGTTCCTCGTTCTTTCTAACAGTCGAGGCACTGATAGAACCACCCGTGGTTTTAGGGTTCTTACGAGTCTGTTCTTTATTATCTTTTTTAACAATCAAGGTACTTGTAGAGTCAATTATTGGTTTAACATTTGTTTGAGTCTGTTGTTTATCGTTTTTTCGAAGAATCGATACACTCGAAAAACGATTTATCGATACAGTGTTCTTATGAATCTTTTCATTATTACACTGCTGAGGCAATTGTGGAACCATTGCGTGATGTGTATTTTTTGAATTACTAGTTAGATTAAATTCCTCTGTAACAGTATTCAGTTTTTTTGCAACCTTTTTTAACGCAGACGGTTTTTTTAAAATATTAACCGGTACAGGATTTGCCTTTATTTGAAACTTCTTCATCTCTTCCATTTCCAAAGCTTCGCGTTCTTCTTGACTCAAGATATTTGTACGCCGTACTCTTTGTTTGCATCTTAATGTAGGAGAAACTGGATGAGTCAATTTCAGCGGGGGTTGTTTCGATTTCACTGAAGGACCTAGTTTTAAATCCTTGTTGCTGGTAGTATGAAATCGTTCAGGTGTTTCATTTTGGAATTTGGAAATGGCCTGTGCCATACTCACAAATTGTCTCGAACGTCTATGGTACTTCATCAAACTTCGTCTACGATATTGACATGTAAGAACCTTTCGTTGTGGTTGTTTAGTTTTAAATTGATCAGACTGTCTCCGTTGAGCTGAAAGAATTTTATGGCATACATAAAAGACTTATCGATTAATGAATCTACTATTATTTTGTTTTTTATGCTCATCAAAATAATTTCTGTATTACCTTTCTGCGCAGGTTTACAAAGGATATTGTTTTTCATTTCCATTACACAGGTATTCTTTCTAATCTCTTTACTTAAAGCTGCTGCTTTAAGCCTCTGTGGTACCACTGCTGTTTTAGTCTTAGATGTTAAGCCTGTCATAGAAACATCCCATGCATAACGTTCATCAAATTTCAATGGTTTTATATCCTTTTTTATGTTATCATTATTTGTCTCTTTTTGTTTTTTATTATTATGCATTATGAAGAATGCTATGTTAGAGCGTGGACCTTGTGTGGGTTCTAAACTGTCATCGAAATTAGTCTCTGCATCCAATGATTCCTCAATGTTTTCTTCCTTACATGGTAAGGATAAATCACATTTTAAATTCGACTTCAAATCTATTCGAGCACTGTGAACTTCATGCTCCACCTCGAAATAACTGTCAGAGGATAACTGTGGGCTACCAGCAAAATCTGCCCATTGTGGTGCATAACAATTGTCCATCATATTAAAGTGTAATTAATGTACAAAATAATTCTTTGGAAGAAAGTCACAGTAAACTATTGTAAACAATTTACGTCCATTCGCGTTGAATCTGCAAGGAAGAATAAACTTCAATTAAATTGGAAGCCTTGCTTCCTTTATACGTAACAGATACTACCTAGCAATATTAAATTGCGGACGCAATAATTAAAATTTACATCGTTCTCAAACGATGTAAGTAAAACTTACAACTGTCTTGTTATATAAAAAAATAGATCTGAATAAAATATTCACTTTTCAGAGGGAGAAAAAGCTTAGCATCCGTCGTTGATGTATGTACGTTGAACTTGGTTGAACGGATTTAAGTTTGAAATTTCTTCAACGTTAGTTTGATTGGTCGAGACAGAAACGTATGCGCAGACGCAAGAAATTAAATTTTTACATTTTTGTAGGGACATTTTTATGCCTGCGTCCCCTCTTAGAACCATTTCGTCATGCGTATGCATACTGAAGTTATATCATCGTATGATGCTTAAATCCGCGATACACAACATTGCTACGCTTAGACCATATATGTACATCATAATATACATATGTAGAAACATTTGCACGACTTTGGGCCGCAGCTTGCTAACCAGTTGAAGATGGGGACAAAAGTTGCTTTGCTCTGATTGGCTGACCATTCAATACTAAGCAGGATTCACTGCGAATTGGATGCGCTTGCATAGAGAGAATGGAAAGCGTGCAAGAGTTGGAGCTTTGTTACGTACATACACATGCATTTGTACAGGACGAGCAGTACGCTTCTGCCCCTATGTTATGTTTATAGCGGCTTCGAGAGACATCGAAGACTTTGTTAAACTACAATTGCAGGATACAACTGTAATTGTATATCTAATTATGTGCAAGTATTCACTTGTAACTTTTGCATCATTTGCATTCAACATAAGTCGATGAAGGTAGTATTTTAGGTTAATATAACTTATAAATAGAATTAAGAAGTCAAAATATACAATTTTTATTTTATTTTACCGCATTCTTTTAAGATTGCATATGAATTGACATATGTATTATTAATAATAACGTAAAAAATGATATGTGTATGTATGAACAGGTTGTCGTTTAAGTAAATGATGCATCCAGACGGCTCACTTTTTTCTGTGAACTTCCATCCGGTTCAAAACCCTGTTATATAACAGTGTGTCGACATCCTTACCCCAGACAAAGTCTATGTGGCTGAAATGTTGATATGGAACCAGGTACCGTTGAGCATTAGGCAGCTCTTTGGATAATCTTCTTACGTCCTGTGTATAGGTGATAGAATTAGATTTGCAAAGTATTACGTATTTAACAGATTTACTGTAATCATAAAAGACTAACCGTATCGCTAACTAACTGATCGTCACTACCGTAGTATATATAAATAGGTATCTTGATGTTGGCAAGGTTATACTTAGGAGGACTACTACGACCATATGTTTTTAAGTTACCAAATAAGCCATAATCGAATTGTGCAAAATTTCCTACAGAAACGATGGTTATAGTAATTATTGTAATTATTATAAAAGCATCTAACATTATTCTTACTAACCAGAATTAACTAATTGTCCATAATGTACAAACTGCTTAGCAGATGATCCAGCAGGATCATATTGACCAATTTCAGGTATAAGAGTCTACAAATTAAAGTTTATAATAATATCATGTTTTATGTATTGCAACATTTATATGTATAAAGGAAATGTATTAATCACCCTATTCAGCTGTTTAAAGCTTGGTCCACTAATGAGAAATATTACACTGGTGCATAGTGGACTTGTAATTGCTTCTTCTTTGCAAGCAATTGCCATTACCTTTTGTATAAATTTGCTCGACGGCTGGAACTCGTTTAGGCCTATGATTTTTGTGAGTTCCTAAAAATGAGTATCACACATTTATATGTATATGTTTAATAACTTAAATGTGTATATATATAATTAGTTAATGAATATTACCTCGAGAGCATCAACAAAGGTGGCCAAAAGACGGAAGAAAGCGTTTGTCATATGGGACATGAAGGATGCTGGGGCCAATGGGAATGCTGCTTCAATCTTTTCTTGATACTCTGGACGTTCACTTGCCATCACTAAAAACGCAGTGCCCCCTTGACTATGTCCAATGTACATGATTTTTTTTTGATTAGTTATTTTCAGTATATGATCAATCATTGCTGGTAGATCGTACAACCCCATCTCATGCCAACTGAACGACCAATATTTTTTATCCTTAATATTCAACCATTTATGTTTTCGGGAATACCTGTTGCCACGTACATTACCCATCCACACATCATAGCCCCAATCTGCTAATATGTATCCTACAAGCAATAACAATCCCGTGTAATATTTGTTGCCACTTTTATTCGAATAAGTTGAAAAAATTCAATGTTAGTATGACATACCTAAAGCTTTTTCAGGGGTTCCCAGCACCCAAGTTGCAGAGCAGTCCAAAAGACCATGGACAAGAAGTACGGCAGGCTTATTGTTGGCTTTAGGACTTTTCCTGGAACCTATGATTCTATGCATTTGCAGAATGTATCCATCTGTAGTGGTAACTTCGTGAGTTTCTCCTTGGTATCCAAATTTCTCCCCACGTATGGCCTGTAACATTATTACTAATTTGAAATTGCTTTCAGTGGTAAAACACTATTGTTATGCAGTGAAACTTGTGAGTTTTTAATTATTAAAGTATTGATTTTTATAAAATACTATCAGACCTAATCGAGGAAAAACTGACTTACAGGGGATGGAGCATTATCAAGAGGAATAAGACCCCAGTTCTCATTGCCAAAGTTAATATCGTTAATTGAGTCGTAATCGTACTCCGATAAAGGAATCCCCAATACCACCGGTATAATGTAGCAGACGAAGGTAAATAGTAGCAACATTGTTACACGGTGATGCTTCAAACTGAACACTGGTGCTTCTTTAGCGCCGACCTTATATAAAGCATCTTTAATCGAAATACAGATTCGTGTATCAATTATCAATTATATTCTTATCAATGATTAAGTGACAAATTGTCATTTGCGAGGAGAGACAGTGGGCTGATTGTTGATCCATTATCTCGAACACCTGCGACATATCTTAATCTATCACGTAGTTTCCAAATTTTTAAATATCGATGGACACTTGTACGATTATTAATGAAATTGGAATTTTATTTCCTCACAGTATAGTATTTAATCGAGTAGATTATAATATTATATATATATCGAATAGAAAAATATATTTATACGCGTGAACTCGCTTTTCCAGTTTTTCAAGTTTTAGATTATCTAAATTGTAATGTTCCAAATATTCACAATCATGCAGGTAGATACTAGAGAAACTGCTGAAAAAATTCATCATTAATATGATATGGGCAATAAATTGTTTTTGCTATTGTGAACGCATTAATAGGCCTAACTGAAATGTTCAAAGTGAAAGCAACAAGCCTCCTTTGCGGACTCTCAACAAGCCCTTGTTTGCTCTTGTGAGACGTCCTAAATATTGCATCATATTGGTTGGTGTAAAAGGGGGACACAGCATAATCGTCGGTGACCGAGCGAAAGTCTTGCAGTTAATGCACGTGCGTTTCGTTCAGTCAGTCGTAACTGTGCCGGTCACACTGTACCCTTCTTTAACGGATATTGCTTGATAATACTTACCTTTAATTTATTCGTTCAAGAGTTCTGCTATAGAAGTCTCATTGTTCGTATCTTTGTTTAGTATAAACTCATTTCAAAAGAGCACTTTAAATAAAATTATTTATATTCGTAATTATTAATAAATAATTTTGTATTCTATTAACGTTTGAACTGTTTTGATTACAATTACAATTGAAAATGTTCAAAATAGTCTGATTGAATGGTACATTTAAGTCAACTATATAATTGTATATTTGAATGATAAAATGATTAGTTCCAGATAGGTGAAACAGTGATTGCGAAAATGATTAATTCCTGTATTTTGTAATCGCGAGGAAGGCAGAGTGCTTATAGAAACTACTTATGAATGTTTGTTTTAGAAGAAGTAGAAAAGAACATTCGATGAAAATCGAAAGCTTCAAGCAAAAAAGGAGAAAGGAAGAACATAAGAGAAAAGAAAGAAACCCGAACTGCAGAGCAGGATTAAAGTCCTAGTAGCAAAGAAAGGTCAATAAAAAGATGCAATTTGTTTCCTTGAAGAATTTTATTCTTTTCTTATTAGTCACTATATTGCCCTTAGATGCTAAACGGACAGGTAAGCTGAAGTCAGAATTTTCAATTGTTTGAAGAGTTTGAATCAAGTTTCTGAAGTTTCTCTTTGTTTTTAGCAAAACTATTAACTATGAGAAGCAGCATGATGTTGCATAGAAAAGGGGGGATACGCCCAGAGCTGAAACAAAAGATTTGCTTTGATTTAGTAGGCTGTTTTTCTAATCCACCTACTCATTTGACATTAAAGCGTGCTCCACAACATCCGAGTATAATTCAGACCAGATTCTTATTGTACACTCGTGCCAAACAGGATTTGCCTGACAGTATTCAGTACGGCGATGATTTTAAGTCTATTTTGCAATCAAAATTCGATGCAAAGAAGTCTCTAAATGTCATCATACATGGCTACAAAGGAAGCGGTAGCGATGTCGGAGCCATACTTCTTGTAAAAGGCCTTCTGGACATGGTAATGTAACATTCAAATGAGAAACAGTTGAATTTAGGTAGAAGTCGTTCGTATTCTGCTGTATCGTAAATTTTCTTCCAGAAAGACGTAAATATCCTGGTACTGGATTGGACAAGGGGCGCGGCGACAACGTATTCAGCAGCTGTGGCAAACACCGAACTAGTAGGACGTCAACTGGGCTTGGTTCTTCTGGATATCATTAGTCTTGGCACTCCCCCTGAAAATATTCATGTGATCGGCTTTAGTCTTGGCGCTCATATCGCTGGTTGCGCCTCGGAGATTGTTAAAAAAAAGAATCATCTTTTGGGGCGTATAACCGGTTTAGATCCAGCGTCTCCATTCTTCAGGAACCATTTATTCAGAGAAAAATCGAGGAAATTGGACGCGACCGATGCTCAACTTGTTGACATAATTCATACAGATGGATCGGAGGATTTTGCGGATGGGTTTGGGCTCTTGAAACCCCTTGGTCACATCGACTTCTTTCCCAATGGTGGCAGAGAACAACCTGGCTGCAACGATGTGAAAAACTCTGTTGTCGTTAGCCACATGAATGGTACAATCTTTTTTCTTTTTGTGTGATTAAGATATTTGTCTATTAATAACTATCGATGACCACTTTAGAGGATAGCTTGACTAGGGAGCTTGCCTGTAGCCATTTGAGAGCTTGGGCTCTCTTCCTGGAAAGTGTTCGAATGGTTAATGAAACGTGCAAGTTCAATGCCTGGCCATGTCCTAAAGGAAGAAAGTCTTATGTAAGTGGAATATGCTTCCCCATGGAGTCCACATTATGGACTCAAGAAATGGGTTACAAAGCTGATCAAGGTGCATTAGGAATTTACTATTTGCCGACCCGGAAAGAGAAACCATTTTGTGGTACGAATTGAAAAACACATTGGTCATTCAACAATTGCAAGCATAATTGTAAAACTTCATATTTATTCCTGCCAGGGTATCCGTACAGAGCGTCAGTAAGAGTATCCGAGGACACTCCAAGAACAGCAGGAATGATACTCGTGAAAATTGAACAATACGATGCAACGTTCAAGATCGAATGCCCGTAAGGAATGTATTGATAAGAGATGTCTTATTCAATGATCTATCTATCAATTATACATACATTAAATGATTTGCGTAAAACAATCAAATCAATCTTACATCTCATATTGGAATGTAAACATTTTGTCAAAATATTTGTTCAAGATTACTGAACCGGAAGAATAAACGAATGACATTCTATAGTATCGCTGCAATGAGATATCAATCACATCCCGATAATCAGTCAATGATAGTGGCACAGGTTTGGTATCAGAGCTTGTTAGATGAAGTAGAAGACAGTTCGAATAAAAATCATTATTCGGATAGTTTATTGATAAACAAGTTTACGTTGGAAGATAGAAAAGGAAACAGGTACGTGTAAATAATCGTATTTATTGTTTGAACATTCCTCAATTTATTTTATATTTTAACGACTTCTAGGTGGGAGTATTGTATGCGAAACGCTGTAGTGAATTCACAAGAAAAATCGATAGTCCTACGACTCGGGGAATGCAATGTTTTATAAGTAAACCATCACTTGTAATCCATAAGGAAACCAATAAAGTTCATCATTATAAGCAAAACATCCATCATGAATTACTTTAATGGTATCTACTTTCATGATACAAGTGCATTCTAAATAAATAGAGATCATTAAAGAAGATAGATGATCGACGATAAATTCTTGACAATATCTTTTATTGCTATAGTTTTTTAATATAAAATAGATTTCAAGTTCAAAACAAAATTTTCTATAATACATGTATCACATTAAAATGATTCCTAGATATAACCGTTGAAGTTTTCAAATCGCGCGCGTTAATAATAGTGCACGTGTTCTCGTTGTTTGTCTCATTGACTCAATAACTACTCATAACCTGTAAATAGTTGTTAGAAGTCTCAGTGAAACAATGTCGAATTTAATTAATCGATCGATCTTACTATTTAATAGGTGTTCGAATCAAATTTTTCGAAACGTAAGCATTATTAAATATGATGTATCCTGAAGTGTAAAGAAATACACACGATGTGTACACGGTTTGATTTTCATAGTTGTGTATTCAAATATTTCTTTCACATTTTTTCCTTAATTTCGTTGTTACTCGTTAAATAAATATTGCTCGATTCTGGTTTCAGAAGTGCTTACACGATGCGCATACATATAAACAGAATTATCTACATATTCGATTTATAAACACTTGGAAGAATACATACCAGAAGATGGATTTTACATCGTTACCAAAGATGAAAAAAAGTATTTTTAAAATCAAAAGTCCTATTACATTGAGAAGTGCAACGATCACGAGTATACTTGCAGGAGCATTTATAGGATATATATATTATTTGAAGCAAACAAAAGATCTTTTATTGGAAAAAGAAAGGAGACGAGAAATAGGAAAAGCTGCGATAGGAGGGAAATTTGAACTGGTCGATACCAATGGGAAATTAGTTAGATCGGACGATTTCTTAGGACAATGGATCATGATATATTTTGGGTTTACGCATTGTCCAGACATATGTCCAGATGAACTTGAAAAACTAACAGCAGTTGTCGATCGTCTTGGTATGCTTTCAGCTCTAATAAATATTAATAGTTTTAATGCATTCCATATTCTTAATGTTGCATCATGTTTTAGAAAAGGAATACAATACAAAAGTACAACCAATATTTATTTCTGTGGACCCAGATAGGGATACACCAGAAGTTGTAGGGAAATATATCACAGAGTTTTCTGATAAATTTGTTGCTCTTACCGGCTCCAAAGAACAGGTTGCCCAAGTGTGCAAAGCTTATAGAGTGTACTATAGTAGCGGACCCAAGGACAAAGATTCAGATTACATTGTTAGTAATATAATATTACATGGTAATCTTAGTACAAATATTAATGTTTACATTTTTTTATCAGGTCGACCATACAATCATCATGTACTTGGTGGATCCAGAAGGTTTATTCGTGGATTATTATGGTCTGACGCATACCGCGGAACAAATTGCTCAGAGTGTCCATTTAAATACAGTAAAATATAAGAAACTTCAGAAACTTGAATGGTTTCCATCTTTAACGTTAAAAAAGACTTTATAGTTGTAACATACTTGTGTTAGATGCATTTCTATGTGTACACAGAATTTTTAAATTGCATTTTTAACGAATATTATAGTGATATTATAGTGACTTATACATGTGTATTAATTAATTGTTATTATTAATAATTAATTTGCATGAAATTATACATTCAAAATTACATACAAAATTAAATAAATGATAAACTACTGGAAGGTGATTGATATGTTTCCATGTGAACCTAGAGCCTTGGAGCATGTACATATACATATGTAGTCTGTTTCTACATGTGTCCGTGTATTCCCTTGGGACCTACACGGGACCTAGGAGTAATGGGATCTACTCCTGCACGCATTTCTTCCTAAGCTGGAGTAATACTTACTCCTCACCACATTTTACTGCGTATCTAATCCGCAGTGGACCCTGCCTTAGCAATGAATCTCGTCAGGCAATCAGAGTAAAGGAAACTTCCATACCAACCCCCGCTAACGGACCAAGCTGTGGCCTGAAGATGTGCACTAGTGAGTCCAATTACTGTATATGTATATGAATGTTTGGATTTCACTGCCATTACGTATCGTCAGTATCGTGTGCATTCATTTCATAGTTACGTTGTTTGAGATTTCATTGATGGACGTTATATACTGATTCTAATGACATTTAATTAAAGGAATCAATATTATATTTGAAGGAAATATTTTACGTAGTTATTATATTTTTTAAAAGTTTCCGTTTCTTGCATGTATAATTGTTACATATTTATTATTTGGAGGTTAGAATTCAAAGCTTACATTTAAGAAATAAATGTATAAATATATGTAATTTGAATGTTATACTGCTTCTCTTTTTAGCCTTAAAATATTTCGTTAGGAAGAATCTATTATAATGGCAGAAGATTTTGGAAGAGAAACCCCACCGATGTACACTGGAAATGAAGAATCAAAAACAGCTGGACAGCCTCTTTCTGATTTTCTATTACAACTTGAAGATTACACTCCAACGGTAATAAAAAAGATAACTACACGTAATATTCATTACTTTGAAGTAGAAATGCAATGGTTGATGTGTGTCTTTTTCTAGGTACCAGATGCAATCAGTGAACATTATTTACACACAGCTGGCTTTAATACCACAGATCCTAGAATGTAATAAACAATTCATAAATATTGGAATTTAGTATTTAAGTTAATTTCGTAACAATTTGTTTATTAATTATAGAGTAAGATTGGTTTCCCTGGCAGCACAGAAATTCATATCTGAAATAGCAAATGATGCTCTACAACATTGCAAGACCCGTGGAGCTAATCAAACCACTAAAACAAAAGGAAAAGATCGACGTTATACACTAACTATGGAAGATCTCACACCAGCAGTTGCAGAATATGGCATAATAGTCAAGAAACCACATTATTTTGTTTGATTTGATTACTCTGGATATTTTATCTAGAAGCTCAAAAATCACAACTGTCTATCTAATTAATATAGCTTAAACTTTGTGATAGAGTCGCGAGACTAACAAAAACTCTCAAATACATTGTGTTTTATATAAAAAAAGAAAACCTGTCTTTATAGTCTTCCTTATCAGGGAACAGGAAAGTATCTTTGCTTCAATATAAGAGAAATTCTCATGATATAAAGCTATGTATTTAGGAGATCATTTCTTTTAGATTGATTTTCAATTTTAAGATGTCGATTAGTTAAGGCTACTATGCAATAACAAATAGGATAAATCAAGTCAAATAATACGGTATATATAACTTATGTATGCTTTAAGATAAGATGCCTTTAGGCTAGCAAATATTCTATGACAACGCAAGATAAATGAGGAAAGTTGAAAAAAATAGGAATTCATTTTTCAGTTAATGATTGCTAGACAAAAAATTTGATCAGTCTTTCTAGTGACTTTCGATTGCTTCAGGTGTAGCATGGGATCCCGCATGCGCTTCGCTCCCCCCAAAAAAAACCATCAGCCATATTGGTGTGTTGTATCGCTATCCTCAGTAATTTCGAAGATCAGTGAGGTATTTTTGTCATTTGTAGCTTCTTTCCACCTCATATTCCTATCTCCGTGAGCAATCGGGTTTGCTGATTGTTGATTCACTATAAACAGAACGACGTCCGCGAACCTTCATGACATACACGACCGAGAAAAATGTTTGGTTAACGTTGCCACCTGGGCTCACGGAAATCGGCCTGTTTAGGAGCACGACGTATAAATAAATGCGTACTATTTCAATTGAACCGAATGCCTATGTCGATCGGTATTAACATCTTTACCTGCAAGTAATTCTCACGGTATTGCTGTGTGCTTAAATGTACAATCGATACCGAAAAAAATCACAGAATCCTGTGAGAGAACATTTCGACCAACTATCTGTCGTGCTTTCCCACCTTCGTCTTTACTTTTACTTCGTTCTTTACTCATGTCGAGTATTTCTTTTACAAATGAGAAGTTTTCCTCGTTATTGCTATCATTGTTGATGTTCCAAGCACATGGATTGTTCGATTTTCATTGAGCAACAGGTTCAGATAGACGCGACTTGTGCCCAGATACACCATTGTTGCACCTGGTTGTTTATACATATTTCTACTAACAAAATTTCTTATTTATGGATTGTATAAGTTCTTAACAAGATTTTTTGTATTTTCCAGCTTATAGCCCATCATGACGGATTCTATGAAATTTGGTCCAGAATGGTTTGTAGTTTTCATTAATGATCGCACAACCATCATGATTTATATATGTACATATATCCTTTCTTTCATCAATTTTTGTATAGGTTGCGCAATCTGTCTGCAGACAGTTGTAATAATGGTGGAGGTGGTGGAGGTACTACAAGTTTGACTACTCCACGTTACCAATTAGCGGAACATAGATACGGAAGAGAAGAGATGCTAATTTTATTCGATCGTAATTGTAAGCCACCAGAATCATTGACAAATTTCTCAACATTATATATCGAGAAAACTCAACTTCCTTTGGCTCTTATACAAATGACAGAAGATGAAACGGTAATTAATGTAATATACTTTTATATTTGATACAGTTCCAACATTAAAAAGGGGAATTTAGTTTAAAAAATACCTGAAACTTCTATAAATCTTGATAAATTAAATTTTTTTTTTAACGTTCCTAACGTAGTTTCACATTTATCAATCTTTGTACATAATAATAATTAACATTATTTAACAATTGTATATTCTTGTTGCATCCTATATTGGGAACTGCTTCGCGAAGTCAGTTTCTATTTATAAATATAACACTGGAGCCCTTGTGCCAGTTCTTCATAGCACTATCCTATCTACCGTTGTGTACTTTATATAATCATGACTACTTAGTTACCATTTTCTATTTACTTCCATACTCTTTATCTGCATTTAGAAAATTTATTTATTGAAACTTTGCATTTGGTTAATCGAGTTTAATATAGTTTTGTTGATGTGATGCAATTACGGTTAATAAAATAAGCTAATGTATCCTATTTTTTCAGCGAATGTGGAACGGAGGAATAACCAATGTCGGTGGTCAAGGAAGGGGTGGAAGCGTGGATCGGGGAGGGCGTGGAAAGAGTGGTAGGGGAAGCTTGTATTCGTCCCATTACTCTCGAGGAGTTGGTTTCGATGATTCAGGAGATGGTAGAAGAATTGATAGCATGCCATTTCCAGTACGTAACTTCTACTGTGACACATTTGTTCGAAAATGAAGAAGTGTTGTCGTTTAATTAAATAGTGAATGCGTGTTTCGTGTATCCAGGGAAGAAACCGCCCGTTTGATAGATCTCAAAGCGAACGTGGGTGGTCGGAAAGAAATGGGGCCTCAGATCCGGGCGAATGGAACGGTTCTACTAGTCCTAGAAAGGAATTGAGTCGTGGGCCTTGTGGTAGTTCCGTTGTAGAAGGTAATTGGCGGCGTCATCGTGGCGCTGGTACAGAAGACGACGACGGCTGGCGTAAATGGGGTTAGTACCAGAGCCCACGGATAGCTAATTCGTGTTAACGGACGACAATGTTATCGCTTTAGTTAAATTGTCGTTATCAGGTAGAAGCAGTTGGCGCGAAGGAGGAAGCATGGATAGGGATAGATTAGATCGAAACGAAGGAGACGGAGAGGAAGGTGTAGCCAAAAGTGGGAGATTCGAGCACCGTGTGAATCACAGACACTCGCACGACCTAAGTCATCATCCACCAGCCCGTATAGGTCGTACCTGGGAATCGAATCATCATGATATTAATCATGATAACCTTCCTGAATGGTATATTTTTGCTCGAATAGAATCATTTTAGTAGAATAGTTGTAATTTGGTTTTATTATATAAGAAACTGCGTATTCTAGGGCCACTGAAAATCCCAGTGAAAGTGGAGGCAGTTTTGATGCTTCCGGAGCGTTCCACGGTGGGATATATTCGGACGATGACGAGGACGGAGTGATCAGTGCGGGTGGTACTCAAGAATCAAGGACTCGACGTGTATCCGAGGGGAGTGCTGGTAGTACAACGAAACCTAGTGGAAAGCATTTACCTTACAGCTCAACCCAGGGGCAGCCCCTGAACCGCGGTCCACCGAGCAGTACAATTAGTACCCATACAATCAATAAAGAAAGACAGAAGTCTTTGCATCCGCTTGACACCAAAGATAAGGTCATCGAGAAGGAGAGGAGAAGTAATTCTCCGCCGTCGATGAAACCACCAATTACACCGACGGACAACGCAGTCGCGAAGACATCGGCGTCGGTGTCGGTGCCAACGTCTGCTTCGGCATCAGCGTCGGTGTCGGTATCGGCGTTGTCGTCCGAAAGCGTTCAGAAAAGAAGCAGCACGGCCGCCACAGTCGTGTCTAAGTCCACGGGAGAGACCGAGATCGGGAAGTCGACGTCTGTCGATTGTTCGGGGAACGTTATATCTCCAAGTAAAACGCATAGTAGGGAGGAGATTCTTCAGACAGAAGTAAAGCTGGATCATCCGATTTCAGTTGCAAAAAGACAACAGATGCCGTTGCAAATAGAGTCTCAGAAGAGCATCGTCGTGCAAGGCACAGGAACGGAGGAGACCCGGCAGAAAGGTGACGATGACTTGGACAGAATGAAGGAAGAGGCGGATGCGTTAGTAGCAAAATTAATGGCGGACGAAGAGAGTCATAGAGAGAAAACTACTGCCAGTGTACCGCCGTCTATTGGTAACCAACCTTCTACAGTTCCATCAACGAATGGACAGGAGAAATGGTTTTACCGTGATCCACAGGGTGAAGTTCAGGGTCCGTTCTTAGCAAGCGAAATGGCGGAATGGTGTAAATCCGGTTACTTCACCGCTGGATTGATGGTACGGAGAACCTGTGATGAGCGGTACACGACTTTAGGGGAGTTAATAAAGATATGTGGTAGAGTTCCATTTACCCCAGGACCTCCTATTCCTCCCTTGAAGGTATGTGGTTGATTTTATCATTTTTTAATGTATTTCTAACAATCCTCAGAATTGTTTTCCTACGTTTGCTTTATTCTCTTAGTTAACGGATCAGGGAATACCTGCAGTTTCGAACAAGGTACCTGCCGGTTTACCTACATTACCAAAGACTGGTATAGAAGACCCGCTTCTTCTACTTCAATACCAGCACATGCGGCTACTGCAAAATCAGCAGCTGCTGCTCAGGCAGATGCGAACCTCCGCCATAGCGAAACTTTCTCAGTCCGAGCATTGGGCCACCTTGAGTCCCGTCGAACAGAATCAATTGATTTATCAGTATGTTATTCAAGACTCGGAGATATCAGAAGTACCGGCGATCTCCACACCTCCGTTCGTACCTCATTTGCCGTCTCAGTCTTCGAATCCGGTCATGCAACTTTTCTCACAGATGCAGCAGGTTTGTAGAAGATTGGATGTGCGAGGTATTGAACTGCAAATTCGTAGCAACGGTGTTCGCCACGTAATTAATTTTATCATATGAACGTCCATAGGCGAAACTTCAACCAGACGCTACACACCTAACGTCGAATCCCCATTCTACCACAGCAGCTCATCCTCCCACTGTAGATCCTATACAACAGCTCATACAACAGATGGGTGGAATTCAAAATATACCGGGGATGCAGCAAACGAATATAAATTCCACGCCACCACCCGCGGCGCAACAAGACAATCCTATAAAATCGTTGTTACGTCAGTTGAATGTTAATGCGAACGGTCATCCGCAGACATCGCACATGGATACCGTTTGGCCGCAGCCTCCGCCACAAATCACTCCACAATTTAATGCACAGAATTGGTTAGCACAGGTACACACTGAAACATTTCAATCGTATTAATGGTAAACATTAATGGATCACCTTAAAATCTTAGGCGAAACTGTCCGGGTAATGTTAAGTTGAAGTTGTACTTCACAGGTCGGACCGATACCCGCAGTACCGCCTGGACAGATGCCTACTTCTTTGTGGGATCTGCATACGAAAGAAATAAAGACTGAGCAGCAAATATTGGTTAGTACGCGATCAAAGAACTAGATATCAATCTATTAAAAATTCCAAACATCATCAAAGATATCGAATCGTATTTTAGGAAGAACAGAACCTTAGGCTACAGGAAGATAGAAAGAAAGAAGAGCTTAGAAAGCAAGAGGAATTACAGCGACAAGCCGAGGAAGAAGTCGAGAAAAAGAAGAAGGAGGAACAGGTCAGGCAAGTGGAGGAAGCGAAACGGAAAGATGAGGAGAGAAAGCGAAAGGAAGAGGAAAAAAAGAGAAAAGACGAAGAGAAGCGCAAGCAAGAGGAAGAGCGTAAGAAAAAGGAAGAGAAGAAACGGAAGGAAGAAGAGAAAAAGCGAGAAGAAAAGAAACGCAAGGAGGAGGAGAAGAAGCGAGAAGAGAAGAGGAAGCAAGAGGAACAGAACTTGAAGAAAAAGCAAGAAGAGGAAAAGAGAAAGAAAGAGGAAATGAAGAAACAAGAAGAGAAGCAGAAAAAGGAAGATGAGAAGAGAAAGAAGTTGGAAGAAGAACAACGAAAGCAGGAAGAAGAGAGAATGCGGTACGGATTGCGCTGATCATTATGCTGTACGTTCTCGCTTGTGCGTGAAATTTGATGAAATATCTGTTATCGTAGGAAAGAAGCAGATGCGCGCAAACAGGCGGAGGCAGAAGAGCAGGCCCGACGAGCGGAGCAAAGACGACGGGAAGCGGAAGCACTTCGAAAGCTACAAGAAAGAAGTAAAGCACCCTGGGCTCAGGCACCTCGTGCTCCACCTCCTCCCACACCTATCAACTCGTTTGCCGAAATCCAAAGACTCGAGCGGGAGAAGAAAGCTGTACGCGCAAGGATAATCTAAACCGTAGCCTAGGAACTCTATCAACAAACCAGTAATATTATAAACTCCGTTGCAGGAGGAGCAACGGTTACAACAAATGATGCAGCAGCAGCTAGCACAGCAGAAGGCCATGGAAGCGGCTCAGGAGACATCGGTTGCCGATTCATCGAAACGATTGCAGTTCAAATGGGCGGAGAAGGCTACATCGTCGACGAAACCGTTGCAGGTCAAGAGCCTCGCACAGATCCAACAAGAAGAGCAGGAGCGCATCGCCAAGGTAAAGGTACCTATTCATCTACGCGTACCACACACACACACACACACACACACACACACACACACACACACACACACACACACACACACACACACACACACACACACACACACACACACACACACACACACACACACACACACACACACACACACACACACACACACACACACACACACACACACACACACACACACACACACACACACACACACACACACACACACACACACACACACACACACACACACACACACACACACACACACACACACACACACACACACACACACACACACACACACACACACACACACACACACACACACACACACACACACACACACACACACACACACACACACACACACACACACACACACACACACACACACACACACACACACACACACACACACACACACACACACACACANATGGTCGAACAATACTGGTGGTACCAGCGGTTTCTGGGAAGATCCGACACCAACCAAAGCCACCACCACGGCCGTCAAGCAACCGCCGAAGCAATCTGCTACAATCAAATCGCCTTGTAATAACCAGACGCTGCAAACTAACAAGGTGAATAAGAGTAAAAATAAGAGAGAAGAGGAATTAGTGAAGAAACTGTTTGAACAGAACACTGCCAAGGTAGATGATTTCACACAGTGGTGCAACAAGGCACTGAGCGGTTTACAGGTGTCCGTGGACAGTAAGTCGTTCTTAGATCATTTTTCTCGGGAGGTACATTGTTCCCAATTAATGGTCCTCTGACACTGTTCGTTGTTTTCAGTACCCACGTTCGTCGGATTTCTGCGAGACATCGAGTCCGCGTATGAGGTTAAGGAATATGTTCGGGACTACCTAGGTGATAATAAACAGAGCTCGGAGTTCGCCAAGCAATTCCTAGATAAGCGCAGTAAATGGCGGTCGGCTCAGCGACCGCAAGCACAGGCGGACGATCTCTGCAAACCTGCACCTGCCGTTAATCCAAATGCGCCCACAGAATTTCAAGAGGTGAAGGTAATAAATACTCAAAGTATTTGATCTCCTTTCGGTCTCGATATAATCGTTCAGCTCTAAAAGCTCTAGTAATCGTTACATTCTATATGTGAGCGTAGAATAATAGATTCAAGGACATCCATTGATAAGATCTTCTTTCTCAGGGAAAATCGAAAAAACCGAAGAAGGGAAAAATGTACAAAGTTGATAGTAGGATTCTTGGGTTCAGCGTGACCGCAGCGCCTGATCGTATTAACGTCGGTGATCGTGATTACGGTGAAGGTGTGTGAATCACTTCCGGAACCGTTTACCGATCCCTCACACCCACGGATATTCGCGACGCTTGGCCCGTTACAAGTTACAAGTATGGTTCGTTATTTATTTATTGTAGATGCCAAATGACAGTTCTGAGGAACCCGTTACGAGTACTTCATTAAAACAAACAAACAAAAAGCAATACCGACTACACATACGTATATACATAATATATATTTAAGATTTCTTTTTCTATGGTTAATGCAAGAATAATCTTCGGTCCCCCACATTTGTATCCTTTCACTCTGTGGGTTAATGGGAGCTTNCCTGGGCTCAGGCACCTCGTGCTCCACCTCCTCCCACACCTATCAACTCGTTTGCCGAAATCCAAAGACTCGAGCGGGAGAAGAAAGCTGTACGCGCAAGGATAATCTAAACCGTAGCCTAGGAACTCTATCAACAAACCAGTAATATTATAAACTCCGTTGCAGGAGGAGCAACGGTTACAACAAATGATGCAGCAGCAGCTAGCACAGCAGAAGGCCATGGAAGCGGCTCAGGAGACATCGGTTGCCGATTCATCGAAACGATTGCAGTTCAAATGGGCGGAGAAGGCTACATCGTCGACGAAACCGTTGCAGGTCAAGAGCCTCGCACAGATCCAACAAGAAGAGCAGGAGCGCATCGCCAAGGTAAAGGTACCTATTCATCTTCCCGTACCACACACACACACACACACACACACACACA